GTGCGCCACGTCGTCGTAACCGACCCTAGCTCGCGCGTTGCGGCGTTCCGCACAGGGCACGTGCACAAGGAAGCCGTCTTCCCTGCTTTCGGCGCGGACGACGACATTGCCATTCGCCAGCAGATGGGAGACCAGTTGTTTGTCAGCGAGTCGGTGGGCTTCGGTGTCGGCGGCATTCATATCAACCTGCGCAACGCGCCCTTTGACGATGCGCGCGTGCGTAAGGCATTGCAGCTTGCCGTTGACCGCGAGGCGATGATCGAGCTGATTCACCCGTCGGGCGGCGAGGTGCAGTGCTACTACCCCTGCATCTTCGATTGGATCTACTCGGTCGAGGACTACATGCAGCTGCCGGGCTTCCGCTTCGACAAGCACGCTGAGGATGTCGAGGAGGCAAAGCGCCTGCTCGCGGAGGCGGGTTACCCCGACGGCTTCGAGGCGACCATAACCTTCCGCAAGGTCGGGCCGTACCCCGACTACTCGGCGATAGTCGCGCAGCATTGGAAGGAAATCGGCGTTGACCTCACACTACGCCCGATGGAGAGCGCGGCAGGCTTCGCCGCATACCAGCAGGGAGACTTCGAGATCAACTGGCAGGGCACGGGCTTGAACTTCCTCGACCCGGATGCCGCCAACGACCTGTTATGGCTGCCCACCGCGGGCCGCAACTACCAGGGCTGGGTGAACGACGAATTCCTCTCGCTGTTCGACCAGGAAAAGCAGGAGGTCAATCAGGAGAAGCGCGGCGAGCTATTGCGCCAGATGACCGATATCCTGCTCGACGAGGTGCCGTACATACCGGGCACCCAGGGTATCGGCTTCCACCTGCAATACCGCTGCGTGAAGGACTATACCCAGCCACGCGCGCTTGGGCAGAACAACTACCGCTTCGACCGCGTATGGCTCGACCAGGAAGCGCCCTGCCGCTAGCCCCCGTTTCGATTTAGATGCCATCCTATCCTTCCCTCTCGATGGGGGAAGGATAGGGGTAGGTATTTGGCATTTCACAGCGGAAAGAGACTGGTAAAACACTGGATTATGAGCATGTTCTTGTCATTCCGAGCAAATTTCACTTGCCTGCCGAGCAATTTATTTGTATTCCTATTCCGAGCGCACGGGAATCTGAAATCGTTGCAGCCCGACCGTGCCGATATTTCAGATTCTTCACTCCGCTCCGCTCCGTGAGATGACAGGAAAGGGGCGCCACGACGTGAAGAATGACAGAATAGGCAAGCATTCCTTATTTCAAACTTTACATACCCCTATCAGCCCTTGATGGGAATGGGAGTAAACTTCTTGTCTCCCAGCCGACATGAAACGCGCTCTGACAAGGGGAGTCTGATAGTTGCGTACCTATGTAATCCGTAGAATGCTCCTCTTCCTCCCAACTCTGCTTGGGGTGTCCCTCATCGTGTTCATAATCCTGCGCATCGTGCCGGGCGACCCGGCGTACATTATGCTGGCGGGATACGAAGGCGATGGAGCCTTCACTCAGGAGGAGTTGGAGAGAGTACGCAGACGGCTGGGCTTGAACGACCCGATCCACATCCAGTACGTCAAGTGGATCGTCAGCGCGGTGCAGCTCGACTTCGGCGACTCGTTCTTCACCAATCGCCCGATATGGGAGGAGGTGAGGCCGCGCCTGCCGTTGACCTTCCAGTTCGCGTTAATGGCGATATTTCTGGCGATAGCCTTCGCCGTGCCCTATGGGGGTCTTATCCGCGACGCGGCAGGATACCTGGATGGACTACTCGCTGCGAATCTTCGCGATTATTGGCCTGGCCATGCCGACTTTCTGGGTGGGCGCGCTGCTGTTGCTGGCGCTGTCGCTCTGGTTCAACTGGTTTCCGCCGCTCGGCTACACCGCCCCGTGGGTGGACCTGAAGACGAACTTCATCCAGCTCATATTCCCGGCAGTCGCGCTCGCCTATTCGACGAATGCCGTCGCCGCAAGGATGACCCGCTCGCAGATGCTTGAGGTGCTGCGCGAGGACTACGTTCGCACCGCGATGGCGAAGGGCCTCAGGGAGCGAGTAGTCGTAACCCGTCACGCGCTGAAGAACGCCGCGCTCCCCGTGCTCACGCTCTTCGGGGTGCAATTCGGCTTTTTGTTGGGCGGCTCGGTTGTCATCGAGAGCGTATTCAGCCTGCCGGGAATAGGCCGCCTGCTCATATTCGCCATCAACACGCGGGACTTCCCCATGGTGCAGTTCCTCGTGATGTTCATCGCAACCATATTTCTATCGGTGAACCTTGTAGTGGACTTGCTGTACGGGTGGCTCGACCCACGAATCCGCTACGAATGATGTAGCCGGAAAGCGACAACAACATGACTAATAGGGCTTCATAATGACCGACAAGTCAGTGGAAAGCATCCTCGCCGTGGAGTTCGGCATGAGCGCGAGGCAAAGCCTGCTCATCCGCTCCTGGTGGCTGGTGAAATCAAAGCCGCTCGGCGCAGTGGGCGCGCTGATACTTTTCGCGCCGCCGTTCTGGTGGCTATCTCCGCTCCGTTAATCAGCCCATACGACCCTGAGATATCGGACAGAACGTCGCGGCTGACGCGGATTTGCGCCACTTCTTCGGCACAGACCACATCGCCGCGACGTGTTCAGCAGGGTCATCTACGGCTCGCGGGTCTCGCTGCTTGTCGGCTTCGTTGCAGTCGTAACCAGCACCGTATTCGGCACACGGCGCTCGGCGTGGCGAGCGCATACTTCGGCAAGACGCTCGACCTGCTGCTCCAGCGCGTCGTGGACTCGCTTCAGGCGCTGCCCGGTCTGGTGCTTGCGCTCACACTCATGGCGGCTATGGGGCCATCGCTGACCGCCGTGATAATCGCCATCACGACAGTGCGCATTCCGGGCACGGTCAGGACGGTGCGCTCCGTGGCGCTCAGCGTCAAGTCTAGCCAGTACTCGGAGGCCGCGCGCGCCATCGGCGCAAGCGACTGGCGCATCATGCTCTACCACATAACGCCCAACTGCATGGCGCCCGTCATCGTGGTGGGGTCGGCTGTGCTGGGCGGTGCGATTGTTACAGAAGCAAGCCTGAGCTTCCTCGGACTTGGGGTGCCGCCCAATATCCCCACATGGGGCAACATGCTGGGACAGTCGCAGGAGCGTTACATCGCTGCGGGTCCGTGGACGAGTGTCTTCCCCGGCCTGGCGCTTACCATCACCGCATTCGGCATCAACCTGTTAGGCGACGCCCTCCGCGACATCCTCGACCCAAGACTCAGGGGCAGCAGGTAGCGACCGAATAACCCAATCCTATTTATCCTGTACATCCTGTCAGCCCCGTCCGGATAGGCTATAATCGTCAGAAGAAGGGGAAGACTTGGCAACTATCGACACCACTGACGACCTGCTGCGACTCGTGCGGGAAGATTCTAACTTTCGCGCGACTATGCGGCGCGAACTGCTGACGGCGGAACTGCTTGAAGTTCCGCAGCGTCTCACCGCGCTTGAACAAGGCATCGCCGCTCTCTTGGAGCATGCCACCGCGACGAATAGGCGACTCGATCTCATGGAAGAGGACATCAGGGAGATGAAGGGAGACATCAACGGACTAGGCGAAGCGTTCAGGCGAGAAGTGCAAGCTCAGTCGAGCTACCGCGGCAACTATGCTCAGAGCGCAGCTACCGGAAGCAACCAGGACATAGCCCGCCCCTTCGCCGAACTTCGCGGCATGAAACGAATCAAGACTAGGCAGGTCTCAAGGGCTAGGATGGAGAGCTGGCTAGTGAACAATGTCTCCTTAGTTGAAGCCCTAGACCTTCGCCCAAGAGCATGGGACACGTTCCTTACGCCTGATGATATTGCAGGTGTCAGAGATTTGCAGGCTGAAAACGACGCAGAGCCGGCGTTCTACATCGTGGTGGAAGCCTCTTACACAGGAGAAGCAGAGGACATTGACAAAGCCATCGACCATGCCAAGATTGTCCATGCGGTCACCGGCTTGGACGCCTATCCGATAGTAGCGGCGGTGCGGCTGGACGATAAAATGGAGCCGGAAATGCGGAGCAGGCTCTACGACGATGTTCAAAAATTCGTCGCAGCCAATGATGCAGATGCAGCGTTCTGGTTTCGGCTAGGCTCGGCTGATCTGAGGCCCGCCGAGCCACGCTAGTCTGAGCATCTTCCCCAGCGACACCCTCTCATCCCATCCTATCCATCCTGTCAGCCCCGTCCGTTCGCATCAGATGTTGAACTGCGGGTCATCGTAGTTGTCGAGCTTGTTGTATATCTGAATGCGCCACCGCTGCGGGTCCACCACCAGCAGTCTCGACTTCACAGGGTCGAAGTCCACCGCCATCGGCAGCGCGAACCGCCACTCCGGTTCAAGGCTATACACCCGCCGCCGCGCCTTATAGACATCAGGGTTGCTCAGCACATACTCGTGCTGCCACTTGGACAGCTCCTGCGCGTCGCCCGTGAATGTCGTGATGTAGTTCGTGTCCGCGTCGTACACCTGCACCCTGTTGTTCACCCAGTCGCACACATAGATGTCGCCGTCGGGGTCAACCGCTACATCGGTGGGATGGTCGAACTGCGCCTCGCCGTCGCCATATTCGCCAAGGCTGAAGACGAACTCGCCGTCCGCATCGAACTTCTGGATTCGATTGTTCTTGTGGTCGGCGACATAGACGCAGCCGTCAGAGTCGGTGGTTATGCCCCAGGGCGAGTTGAACTCCCCGTCGCCATCGCCGGCCCGCCCGAATACGTTGGACGGCTTGCCGTACTTGTCGAGCTTCTGGATGCGGTGGTTGAGCGTGTCCGACACATACACATCGTCGTTGTCGTCGATCACGATTCCCGAAGGTCTGTTGAACTGCCCGAGTCCGGATCCGGACTCGCCGAACATGCGAATGAACTCGCCATCGCGGTCGAAGACGGATACGCGGTTCAGCCACTCGTCGGCTACATACACATTCTCGTCGCTGTCAACCGCCACACCCGCGGGCCACATGAACTCACCGCTGCCATCGCCTCGCTCGCCGAAGCGCGTAATTAGCTCCTCGTCGCCAGGAGTCGTGCCGATGGTGAGCCTTACGATCTCACCGCCGTTCTGACGCCTTACGACCGTGAAGACATTGTCATCCTGGCCGACCGTGAGCGACAGAAGCCCGGTTATCTGCCGGCCTCCCACCACATGGCTGTAGTCGTACACTCTGTCGGCAACTATTCTGGTCAGCATTGTTGTTCCCCTCCGGTAAAAGACGCGGTTAGTCAATAGAATACGCTTTTAAGCAGCCAACTAGCTTTGAGTTTCGTCCGCCCGCAATGGTCTAATCTCAAGCTTGCCGTCAGGCAGCGGGTGTATCGCTATACGCTCATCCCAAGGAAAGCCACGCCCGCCCCTCACAATCCTTGTGGTGCAGACTTCTATGTCTGCCATATTGTCCCGTGTAATCCGTCTGAATCTGAAACCGCTGCCCAGGAAGGACAGGTCGATTTCCCAACCCGATCCATCGTCGGTCATTCCGCCTCCTCATCCTCATCGGAATCAGGAAAATAATACAAGTCAATGTTCCCGTCCTCAGCCTTCACCGCTACCATGTACTTGTCCAAGAATCTGAACACCTGCGGAACGCCCATCGTCATGAACTTCGGGTCAACGATTACGGATTCGCCTTTGTGTGTTACGGCGTCCTCATCCTGAGCGACAAATTCAAGCTCAAGCACATCGCGCTCTTCACCATTTTCGAGTCGTATCTTGGTTGCCCGCATAACGATACACTCCTTTTAGTAGAGTCGCCTACGCAAACATATACTCGCGCGTTGAGACGATAAGCTGAAGTATCTCCGCTATTTCCTGAGCGGACTCGGCATCGCTCTTGCCGTTGCCGCCGCAGACGCTTTTCTGCTCGGCATGCGCGACAAGCTCCGCCCTCGTGCCCTCGTTGAATTGCAGGGGGCCCATCAGGTCGAGACAGGCGTCCACGAGCGACTCAGGCGATGCTGCCTGTTCCTGCACACTCTCGACTATCTTGCGTATGCCGGGACGATGCGTCTCATTGACCGTGTCGGCGACGAAGTTAGTCCGCTTCATCAGCGCGCCGCTGTTTATCCACTCCACGCCGGAGTGCCAACCCTCGACGCTGGGCGGATTGAGAAGCTCCTGCCCCATGTAGGTGATGTTGTTCGCCCAGTCGAATATCTCGGGCGTGGGCAGACCGGCATGGCCTGCCATCCGCAGCGTGCTGATGACCACCTCGGTCGGGTCTTCACCTTGCGGAACTGCGCTTCCTTGAAGAAGTCCGAGTTGAACAGCATCCGCAGCACGGCGCGTATGTCGTAGTCCGTTTCCATCAGGGCGTTAGAGAGGAAGTCGATTGCTTCCGGATCACGCGGAGGCGTTACGGGCCAGGCAGGCACCTGCACCTCGTCCGCTACGAAGAAGCTGTACATGTGGCGGGCGACGAAGCGCGCCGTCGCCGGCTGCTTCAGTATGATGTCGATAATGTCCTCGCCGTTGAAGTTGCCCGTCTCGCCGAGGAAGGTCTTGTCGCCGTTGTCGTGGTCGTCTTCCTTGTACTCGAAGTACCAGTCCCACCTGCCCATGTGGAAGCGCGGCAGCTTGGGCGACATCGTCCAGCCGGTGAATGCGCGGGAACACTCCCTCACATCATCCTCCGTGTAGTTGCTCACACCCATGCTGAACAGCTCAAGCAGCTCCCTGCCCCAGTTCTCGTTGACTGCGGTGGCATGGTTCTCATTGTTGTCCAGCCAGAAGAGCATCGCCGGGCTCTTCGCCACTTCCAGGAGCAGGTCACGGTACTTGCCCATGCCCTTCTCGCGGAACATGTCGATCATGTCCGTTATCTCGTCGTAGTGGTCAACCTTCGAGACGCCTGTGGCGAAAATCTGGTGCCAGAAGAGGCACACCTTCTCCTGCAGCGGAGCCTTCGTGTTGACCATGCGCCAGACCCAGCTGGACTGCCCGATGCCGCCGAGCGTGCCCGGCTTCCACTGAAAGGTGGTAGTAGCGCAGGAACTCGTAGATATCGACAGGCTCCTGCCGCTCCGGGTGCAGAAGCTCCTCCACCGTCTCTTCGTATCCGACGGCAAGGCGCTGCTCCAGCTCTTCGCGCGTTGCGCCAAAGCCGGCGCGCCGCATCAGGTGCGCCATCATTGCAAGGTCGCTGCTGCTCATCGTTGACCTCCCTGTGGTGGGTCTAATAGTGGCTCTGGTAATGGCTCTAATGCTGGCTGGGGATGCCAGTCGCGGACGCTATCACAGAATCAATCGGCAAGGATGATTATGTCTATCCAAACGCCCGCCCATTATATGGCATGAAAGTTGCGCATAGCAACGCGCACTATTATGCAGCAAGGAGTCTCGGTTTCTTCGTGCGATACAGATTTCGTAGGATACTTCCCACGCTTTGAGAATGTGGTTTTGAGGACTCATCACGAGCGGCAGCTTTGTTTTCGAGTGTGAGAACCTTTCATGACGGTGTTGATAATCGGCTATAATCAGGAGCAGGGAGATAAGGTCATGACGACTATCAACACGACAGACGACTTCATACGGCTCTTGCGCGAGAATCCCGAATTCCACGCCGCAGCGAGGCGCGAGCTGCTGACTGAAGAGTTGCTCGCGCTGCCGCAGCGTTTCAGCCTGTACGCGCAGACGACCGACAGGCGGCTCGACAGCGTTGACCGCAGACTCGGTTCGCTAGAGCAGGGTCAGCAGCGCCTCGAAAAGCAATGTCACAGACCTGCAGCAGGGTCAGCAGCGCCTCGAAACCGGGCAGCACCGCCTTGAGAACAGTGTGAACACACTAAGGGGCGACGCCCTTGAAACGAAAATGCCTACTCGCCTCTGCGATATGCTGAGAGCTAGGCTTGGCATCAGAAGGGTGCAGATCTTCTGGATGGCGCGACACCAGACGCCTCCAATGAGCCGGAGCGAATACTTCATCCGGACGCTAGAGGACGCCACCGACAACGGGATTATAACGGATGACGAGGAACTCAGACTTTTCACCACTGACATGGTGATACGGTCCCTGCGACAATCTGACGGAAGCCGCCTCTGGATCGCCGCGGAAGCCTCCGGCGTGATTGATCAGAACGACATTGAGCGCGCCCGTCGGTCAGCGCTGACTCTGCAAAAGATACACGGTGAAGATGCCGTTCCCGTAGTGTACGGCTATAGCATCTCCGAGCGGCAGAGGGAGCAGGCTGCGGCAACACCTGAACTGCAGGAAGTTATATTTTCGTGGAGCCTGACCAGGCCTTGGAAGAGCATTAAGCTACACCGTGTGACGCCGTCCGTAATCACGAATGGCTCAGCCCACCGTCCAGATACAGCGTCTCGCCCGTCATGTACGCCGACGCGTCCGACGCCAGGTACAGCGCCAGCAGCCCGACCTCGCGCAGCTCGCCCACACGACCCAGCGGTACGTTCGTCTTCGCGCGCTCCCTCGAAGCCGCTATTCGTTCAGGCTCGCCCGTCTCGGGATCCGGGAATACTGCCCGGCGCGATGCAGTTCACGGTGATGCCGTACGCGCCCATTCGAGCGCGAGCGTCTGTGTGAACCGCGCAAGTCCCGCCTTCGCCGCCGAATACACCAGCATCTCCGGCGAACCCTTGCGCGCCGCGAACCCGCTGATGTTATGACGCGCCCGCCGCCTCGCGCTATCATGTGCGGCCCCACCGCGCGGCACCCTTGAACGCCTCCGTCAGGTTGATGTCCATCACGAACTGCCACTCATCATCGGTTATCGGCGTGCCGTCCGAGCCGGGCGGCGGCACCAGCGGCTTGCGTATCGCATCGCCCAGGTTGTTGATGAGCACATCGATGCGTCCCCACGCGCTGAGCGCCGTATCAACCGTGCGCTGCCAGTCGTCCGAATCCGTTGCGTCCGCCGTCAGCGGGAAGATGGGATGCCCCGCCGCTTCCATCTCCTCCGCAAGCGGCATCAGATAGCGGTCTGTCAGGGATGTAACCATCACCTGCGCCCCCGACTCCGCGAACACCCTCGCTATGCCCTTGCCAATCCCTCGCGCCGCGCCCGTCACTATCACCGTCTTGCCCGCTACATCGAACTCCGTAGGAAGCCTCGAATATCTCGTATTGGGAATCGTCATATATCTAACCCCTCTCTCCTTATGCTTGTGCGGCAAATGCCATGCCCAATTCTACGGCACAATCCCCCCTCATTTCAACTCCCTTCTCATCCTGTCAGTCCCATCAAGTCCCGTTGTGCAATCGCGCGATGCGTTGTAATCTAACGGCGAAGCACAGCGGCCCAGAGAAAAGGACAAGAGGACAAAAGATGTCAACAGTCAGCATAGACCACATCGCAATGCCGACGGCTAATGCGGAGAACCTTATCGCGTTCTACAAGAAGCTCGGCTTCCACATCAACGACGAAGCCGAATGGCGCGCGGGCAGGCGCACATCTTCTCCATACAGGTCGGCGACTCCAAGATCAACGTGCATCCCGAAGGCTACACCGCCGCCCTGCGCGGTCCGACGGCTGTGCCCGGCAGCGCCGACATCTGCTTCGTCTGGAACGGCGCAGCAGCCGATTGCGAGCGGATGCTACAAGACGCAGGCGTGGCAATCATAGCCGGCCCCGGCCCAAGACGCGGCGCGACTGCGAGACAAGACAGCCGTCAGCCTCTACGCCCGCGACCCCGACGAAAACCTGCTCGAATGGATGATTTACGAGTAACCCACCCCGTCATTCCCGCGCAGGCGGGAATCTAGAAGGGTATAAAAGTCCCTTCCCCCTTGATGGCGGAAGGCTAGGATGGGGGTGATGTACCCTCCTCGTCCTGTACATCCTGTTAAGCACAACTCTCACGGAGGTTCACCATGGGACGACTCGACGGCAAGGTTGCACTCATCAGCGGCGGCGCGCGCGGACAGGGCGCTGCCGAAGCACTGCTATTCGCCAGCGAAGGCGCGAAGGTCGTCATCGGCGACCTGCTCGACGACGAGGGCAGGCAGATTGAAGCGCAGATAGCCGAACTCGGCGGCGACGCCACATACATCCACCTCGACGTAACCAGCGCCGCCCATGGGACGCCGCAGTGCAGACCGCCCTCGACCAGTACGGCAGGCTCGACATCCTCGTCAACAACGCCGGTATCGGCGGCGGCGGAGTCGGGCTGGAGGATACTACCGTGGAGTTCTGGGACAGGACGCTCGACATCAACGCCAAGGGCGTCTTCCTCGGCACAAAGGCGGCGATACCCGCCCTCCGCGACGCGGGCGGCGGCTCCATCGTCAACATATCCTCCATCGCCGGAATCATCGGCAGCAGGCTCGGCATCCCCGCGTATCAGGCGAGCAAGGGCGCAGTCCGTCTCCTCACCAAGTCCACCGCCCTCCAGCACGCCGCCGACAACATCCGCTGCAACTCCGTCCACCCCGGCATGATCGTCACCGCGATGACCGACGAAATTCTCTCAGACCCCGAGCAGCGGCAGGGCTACCTCGACAGCATCCCGCTCGGCAGGCTAGGCACCGTGGACGACATCGCCAACGGCGTCCTGTTCCTCGCCTCCGACGACTCATCCTTCGTCACCGGTAGCGAAATGGTCATAGACGGCGGCCTCATCGCACAGTAGCCGAAAATGTCCCTTCCCCCTTTGATGGGGATCATAAGTCCCCTCTCCCAGAGCGAGAGGGTTAGGGTGAGGGCACCAGACAAAAGTCCCTTCCCCCTCGATGGGGGAAGGTTAGGATGGGGGTGATGTACCCTGCGCATCCTGCTAAACACAACTCTCAAGGAGGTTCACCATGGCACGACTAGACGGCAAGGTAGCACTCATAAGCGGCGGCGCGCGCGGACAGGGCGCTGCGGAGGCGATTCTCTTCGCCAGGGAGGGCGCAAAAGTAGTCATCGGCGACCTGCTCGACGACGAAGGCAGGCAGATTGAAGCGCAGATAGCCGAACTCGGCGGCGATGCGACCTACCTCCACCTCGATGTAACCAGCGCCGACGACTGGGACGCAGCCGTGCAGACCGCCCTCGACCGCTACGGCAGGCTCGACATCCTCGTCAACAACGCCGGTATCGGTGGCACGGGAGGCGGGCTGGAGAACGCTACCTTGGAGAGTTGGGACCGCACGCTTGACATCAACGCCAAGGGCGTCTTTCTCGGCACAAAGGCGGCGATACCCGCCATCCGCGACGCTGGCGGCGGCTCCATCGTCAACATCTCGTCCATCGCGGGCATCATCGGCCTCGGGACCGGCAACCCCGCCTACGCCGCGAGCAAGGGTGCCGTCCGCCTCCTCACCAAGTCCACCGCCATCCAGCACGCCCCCGACAACATCCGCTGCAACTCCGTTCACCCCGGCATGATTGTCACCGCCATGACCGAGGCGACACTTGCCGACCCCGAACGCCGGAAGTACTGGGACGACAACATCCCGCTCGGCAGGCTCGGCACCGTGGACGACATCGCCAACGGCGTACTATTCCTCGCCTCCGACGACTCATCCTTCGTAACCGGCAGCGAGCTAGTCATAGACGGCGGCATAGTCGCGCAGTAGCCACCAAGCCCCTTCACATAAGCCCTCTCTCCCTCGGTGAATGGTCACCCATTTGCCCCCTCTCCCGCGGGCTGAGGGTGCGTGGGTGAGGGTGGAAAATATCCTCCCCATCCTGTCCGTCAATGTCAACGCCTCTTTGTTCTTTTTGTCGGATTCTTTCGCTATACTGAGATTAGCTAGTCTTACAAGGCGCAGACGGAAGGCGCAACATGCCTGCACTGGAAGCATAAGCATCAAGGGTTTCAAGAGCATACGCGATGTCGAGGTCAAGCTCCGAGACATCAATGTGCTCATAGGCGCAAACGGCTCCGGCAAGTCGAACTTCCTTGAGGTACTGTCCCTCCTGCAAGCGATCCGTGCGGGTAATCTTCAGGACTAACGTTGCGCGCGCAGTGGTGCTGATAGGCTACTTCTCCACTTACGGCCCATGACAACAAGTGAGCTAGCTGTCATGTTGTCTTTGAAACCACAATTGGAAATCATTCCAATGGGTATGAGATTTTATTGGAGCCAACGGAGACCAACACTCTTTACCCGCGAAGTGGCTATGAGCGCGCATATTTCTGGGAACAGAGTTCGCTCTTCGCCATATGATCATTATCTCTCACGTGAACAGGGGGAGGCAGGGATAAGTTTTCGAGATAACAGGGAAATTGTAGTACACGTTCAAAACCACCTCAATCGTTGGCGGATATATCATTTCGATGACACCAGTTCAGTCTCGCCAATGAAGAAAAATGCTGACATTCACGACAACCGCTACCTGCGCGCAGACGGCTCAAACCTTGCCGCGTTCCTCTACCTTCTCCGCGAAAAGCATCAGGATTCCTACAGATTCCTGCGAAACACCGTCCGCCTTGTCGCGCCGTTCTTCGACGACTTCGTGCTAGAGCCGCTTGCCTGAACGAAGACACGATCCGCCTCGAATGGAAGCATGTCGGCACTGACGCCTACTTCGATGTATCTTCGCTCTCGGACGGTACGCTGCGCTTCATCGCGCTGGCGACTCTGCTGCAGCAGCCGAAGGAACTGCGCCCGTCGGTCATCCTGCTGGACGAGCCGGAACTTGGGCTGCATCCTTAGCGATCACGCATGCTGGCATCCATGATAAAGACCGCCTCGGTTGATACGCAGGTCATACTGGCAACGCAGTCCCCGATCCTGCTCGACTACTTCGAGCCGGAGGATGTGCTCGTGGCAGACAGGGTGGATGGCGCAACCGAGTTCAGGCGTCTCAGTTCAGATAACCTGGCGATTTGGCTGAAGGATTACAGCATCGGAGAGTTGTGGGAGAAAAATGATCTTGGCGGTCGTCCGACTCCCGAAAGGCGGATTCCGAGGCAATGACTCGCCTTCTCGTGCACGTCGAAGGTCCAACAGAAGAGGCTTTCGTAAACGAGGTCCTAAGCCATCATCTATACGAGCGAGGATTTACCAGCGTAAGTGCGCGAATCGTTGGAAACGCGAGAGAGCGCACGCGACGCGGTGGCATCGTATCCTGGGAGATCGCCCGCCAAGGGATACTTAGTCGCCTCATCGAGGACTCAAACAGAATATCGACCACAATGGTGGACTACTACGCAATGCCTCTCGATTGGCCAGGACGAGCTGACAGATTTGCACAAGCCGCTAGTTCTGCTCAGATAGCTGAGAATATCGAACAGGCGCTGTTGGCGGATATATGCGCCAATATGGACAGAAATTTCAACCCGAATCGCTTCGTACCGTATGTGATGATGTACGAATTCGAGGCGATGCTCTTCAGCGATTGTGACAGTCTCGGACACTCCATTGGGCGTTCAGGCCTGATTGCCGACCTTCAGGCGATTCGGGACGACTTCGACACCCCTGAGGAGATAGACGATTCCCCGGACACCGCACCATCCAGGCGCATCGAGAGTCTGATGCCCGCGTATCAGAAACCCACGATGGGAGTTCAGGCGGCGCAGAGCATCGGTCTGGAAGCGATCCGCAGGGAATGCCCGCACTTCGCCGATTGGCTGCAGCGCCTTGAGAGCTTACCTTGACCAACTTGCTGCAAGCCGACGCGTAATCTGCGACCTGCTAGGCTTCGGCGAAGACGTCTATCAGGCAGTCCGCCTGCTCGCCGCCAAGTGGTGCGCCGAGCCATCCGTCCACGGCGGCAAGCGCAGACCGAAAGGTGCTATGCTGGTTGTGTGATTCTTGTACTTCGTTGCACTACAACAAGAATATGACACACGGATGGCGCTGATTGCGATTGCGGGCGACGGGTTAGTGACTGCTTGGCGAATCTTGTGCCGCAACTGCTGAAGCAGAGAGAGGACGCGAAATGAAACGAGTAGGAATGGTCAAAGGACATACGATAGAGTTGGATGAGCCGCTGGGCTTGCCGGACGGCCAGTGGGTTGAGGTGGAGGTTCGCGCGGTTGAAGAGTCGCCGTTGGAGAAGTATGGGTTCAACCCGATACTACGCAAGAGGGGGGCGAAGGTTTCGAATGAGCTAGTCAATGAGATACGCGAAGAGTTGGGATTTTGATTTTGAAGGCGCTGCCTGATGTGAATGTGCTGATTGCCCTGCTGGATGAAGATCACCCTCATCACGATACGGCGGCGAATTGGTTTGTGCTCAACTCCGAACTGGGATGGGCAACCTGCCCTCTAACGCAGAACGGCTGCATCCGCATACTGTCTCAGACCCGCTACCCAAACTCGCTGAGCATCGGAGAAGTGGTGGAAGGGCTGCGCGCCGTTACTTTGATAAAGAGTCACGAGTTCATTGCGGACGATGTGAGTCTGCTCAATCAAGGTGTGGTGGATGTGTCGAGCATATCGAGTCATAGGCAGTTGACGGATATTTATCTGCTGGCGCTTGCGGTTGAGCATGATATGCGGTTCGTGACGCTGGACAGGGGTGTGCGGTTGGAGGCAGTGAGCGGGGCAAGCGCGGAGCGTTTGGTGGTGATTTAGGCGGTTGATTGGGTGAGCGGGTTTAATGGCGCTGACAGCGATTGCCTGCGGTGGGTTAGCGGCTGCGTTGGCGAATCTTGTGCTCCAACTGCTGAAGTAGCGCGCGGATCGCCAGCAATTCTCCCCATCCTGTCCATCCCGTTAGGTAGAACTGACAAACTGACAAAACCGACAAACTGAAATACCATCCCGGAGGTTCACCATGGGACGACTAGACGGCAAGGTTGCGCTCATAAGCGGCGGCGCGCGCGGACAGGGCGCAGCCGAAGCGCTGCTATTCGCCAGGGAAGGCGCGAAGGTGGTCATCGGCGACCTGCTCGACGACGAGGGCAGTCAGATTGAGGCGCAGATAGCCGAACTCGGCGGCGACGCGACCTATGTCCATCTCGACGTAACCAGCGCACGCCGAGTGGGACGACCGCAGTGCAGACCGCGCTCGACCGCTACGGCAGGCTCGACATCCTCGTCAACAACGCCGGCATCCTCGGTGCACGCACCGGCTTAGAGGACACCACCTCGGAGCAGTGGGACGCCGTCCTCAATGTCAACGCCAAGGGCGTATTCCTCGGCACCAAGGCAGCGATACCCGCCCTGCGCGACGCCGGCGGCGGCTCCATCGTCAACATATCGTCTCTCGCCGGGCTTGTCGGCAGCAGGAACGGCATCCCCGCCTACCAGGCGAGCAAGGGCGCCGTCCGCCTCCTCACCAAGTCCACCGCCATCCAGCACGCGAGCGAAAACATCCGCTGCAACTCCGTCCACCCCGGCATGATCATCACCGCCATGACCGACGAGATTCTCGCCGTCCCGGAGATGCAGCATACTACGACGACAACATCCCGCTCGGCAGGCTCGGCACCGTGGACGACATCGCCAACGGCGTCCTCTTCCTCGCCTCCGACGACTCCTCATTCGTCACCGGCAGCGAGACTAGTCATAGACGGCGGCCTATACGCCCAATAACGAAGCCAGAAGTACACAAAAATCCCTTCCTCCGGAGGGCTGACAAGGGTAGGTAAAATTGGAAACGGAACCTAGGCTTGTCTCGGCGCGATAGTGAGCTGAATTCCAAGTGCGGCAAGCACTTTCATCACGGTGCCGATTCTTGGGTCACGCTCGCCGGATAGTGCTTTGTACAAACTCGGACGCCCCAGATGTGTCTCTTGGGCGATAGTGGACATACCCTTGGAGCGTGCCACATTGCCGATAGCCTTCATGAAGAACGCAGGATCGTTCTCTTCCAGCGCAGCTTTCAGATACTCGATGATTATGTCGTCATCGGTGAGAAACTCGGCGCTGTCCCAAGCGGTGTAGTTTTCTTTGTCCATGTCATCACCTCAGATTTCACTCGTCATTTGCTGGGCGCGTCTTATGTCTCGCGGCTGGCTCGCCTTATCACCGCCGCAGAGCAGGATAACCACTCTCCGTTGTCGGATGGTGTAGTAAATGCGATAGCCTTGACCGACATTAACGCGGAGTTCACTGACACCGCCACCGACAGATCCGTGGTCGCCGAAATTGCCTTCTTCAACGCGGTCGATACGAACTAAGATTTGCGCCTGTGCCCGTTTGTCGCGCAGTCGAGTCAGCCAGCGCAGGAATCTGTCACTTTTGACTACTTCGTATCTCATAGAGGTATTGTATCCAAAAGGATACAATACATCAAATATTTTTTGAACCCTTTAATGGTGGCATAATTGCCGTTCATCTTGACCGAGGGAGGAAGAGCCTGCGCCCGCGAAGGCAGGTGCTGGGATGAGGGTGAAACACACCCTCCCCATCCTGTCTATCCTGTCAGCCTCCACCCCTACGGCGCCAGATGCTCCCCCTCCAGCCCCTCCGCCAGCCGCAGCGTCTCCACTGACAGCGCCCCCTCATACAGCCCATACCGCGCCCCAAACTCGTCGAGTATCGCCTGCGCCACCACCTCGTACTCCGCGCCCTCCACTTCGTCCTCCACGCTCCCCACCGTCTCCGGCCGCCACTCCACGCCCAGCGCCTCATACACCGGCACCAGCACATCGCGTATGCGCCCGCCGTCCCCCACCACGACCACGCCGCCCACATGCGCCGCGCCCCTGATCAGCCGCTGACCCACGCCCATCAGCTTGCGCTCGCCCCGCGCGTTCACGCTATGCTGCCCCGGACAGTACTCGCCAGCCACCTCGCCCACACGCGCATCGATGCCCAGCCGCCGCAGCGCGCGCATCATGATGTCCGCAGCCTCATCGAACCGCGCCATCACATCATCCCTCGGCGTCCCGTCCGGCATCGTCCACGAGAACGCAATCGTCCCGCCGTGAAACACCGCAGCCCGCCCGCCCGCAAGCCGCTCGATCGCCTCGAATCCCTGTGCCCGCGCCGCCGCAGTCGCCTTGCCATACCCCTCAGCCCGCGTATCCTGCGGCCCGAACGCCACCACATCCGCAGGCGTGTACAACCGCAGCGTCTCCGGCTCCGTGCCCGACGCAACCTGCCGCAGCAGCGCCCGCGACACCGCCGTATCCAGCGCCGCCCGCTCCCGAAACGCCTCCCGCGTAACCCGTATCCTTCGCTCACTCATATCCGCAAAAGCATAGCACACAAAGTCCCTTCCTCCTTGACGGGGGAAGGCTAGAGCCTGTCCTGAGCTTGCCGAAGGGATGGGGGTGAAGAATCCTGTCCATCCCCAGCCAACCATGTTAAACTCCCAAGAACATTTCGCGAGGAGAAAGCAACACATGAAGATCAAATCCGTCAGAGCAGTCTCCGTCAACATCCCGCGCACGCCCCCCAAGACACCCGCGCGTCGCCCCGGCTGGAACTCCCACGCACGGCGCGCCCTCCCCATCAACAAGTACCCCGAGTTCCCGCGCATGCACGGCACCATGCCCGGCGCCAACACCCAGGCAGACCTCTGGGTGCAGGTCGTCGCCGAGGACGGCACATACGGCCTTGGCCAGTGCAGCTTCGGCGAGCTCACCGCCACCCTCGTTGACTACCACTTCGGCCCCCTGCTGGAGGGACGCGACTGCTTCGCCACCGAGTTCCTCAACGACCTCATGTGGCGCTCCACCCAGCGATTCGGCGCGGCGGCATCGCAACCGTCGCACAGTCCGGCATCGACCTCGCCCTCTGGGACCTCAAGGGCAAGCTCCTCGAACAGCCCGTCTATCGGCTGCTCGGCGGACCCTGCCGCGACAAGATCGACATCTACGTCACATCCGACGACCTCGACTGGTCGATGGAGCTCGGCTTCCACGCCTTCAAGGTCAGCAACCCCGTCCACTACGAAGAGGGCATCGACGGCCTCAACATCCTCGACGAGCACATCGGCAAGGCGCGCGACATGGTCGGCTACGACGTCGAGCTGATGTACAACCCCGTCATGTCCTTCAACGTCGAGTTCGCCATCCGAGTCGCCGAGCGCCTGCGAAAGTACGGCCTGCGCTGGCTGGAAGAGCCGCTAATCCCCACCGACCTCGAAGGACACATCGAGCTGAAAAAGGCGATAAACTGGGTGCCCCTCGCCACCGGCGAAGACCATCACGGACGCCACGCCTTCCGCCAGCTCATCGAGCATCGCGCCATAGACATCGCCCAGCCCGACCTCAAGTGGTGCGGCGGACTCACCGAAGCCGTCAAGATATACACCATCGCCGAGGCAGCCGGCATCGCCACCATCCCCCCACGCAGGCGCCGGCACACCCTACGGCCAGCACTTCTCCTTCGCAATGCCCGAATCCCCAATGGCAGAGTTCTGGATGGGCTCCGACCCCGGCGTCCCCCTGGAGGAAGTCTGCCCCATACCCGGCATGCCCATGCCCAAAGACGGCTGCGTCATCCCATCCGACGCCCCCGGCTTCGGCATGGAAATCAAGGACGAGTGGGTAGTCCCCTGGGACCATACGGCGGCGATGAAGACCCCGAAATAGAATACCCTTCCCCAGGCAAGTGTCCCCTCTCCCCGCGGGAGAGGGCTAGGGTGAGGGGCGCCCAAAAGTCCCTTCCCCCTCGATGGGGGAAGGCTAGGATGGGGGTGATGAATCCCTTTATCGTTTCGTACCCTACCAACCCAGAAGGATGCAGAAATGGACAGTCAGCCAGAAACATCCACACGTGACAATCGTCTAATTGGCAGGCTTCACCGGGAAAGGCGTATACGACCAAAGCTCGGTCAAATCAAGCCTCAAACCCCATCCGGCAAAGTCAAGCAATGGAAACCCCCGACCAAAGGAACAACCCCAGCCGACAGGAAACAAACACCTAGCTGCTGTCAGAAACCATCGTTTTGAATCACTAGGCATTAGGCCACTTCAGCGTGAAATTCAATCCCGAATGAAATAAACCCTGCGACCACTCGGCGGCGCGGACTAGCGCATCTGTCTAGATGGTGAATCGGATGGGGCTGACAGATGATGCATCTTCCGACCATTTGAAGCGGTTCACGAGATTCATTGGACCAAAGTTGGAACTTACGAGACGATTTATGAATCAGTCCACGAACGATCTTCTAAGTGAATAGGTTGTTGAAGTACTGACATGGACGAAATTGCCATATGGTCTGAAACAGACATCAATAGCTCCGTAACTCACTTCTGGTTTCAGCGGGACGGATACCGTCGTATCTGCGATAACGGGCTTCTCGAGGACGGTATCTCTATTGAGCCTGAACAGTTTGCAAGTCCCATCCCGTGCCGAATGTGTAAGTCACTTTATTTGGAGGATGTGCTTTATGGAAAGCAGGTATTAAGACTCCTAGCGGATCCACCCCTATTGAAAAATGGAGGGGCATCCCATTATAATGTGGAACATACCCTATATTTCGGGGTCTTAGTGCCAGAAACGGAGCCAATCGTGCCTCGAATACCCATGTCGAGTTTCGCTAAATTCTACGAAGTCAGACCCGCTGAACAGGTTAGAATAGTCCGGGACATTAGGATGCGCCTTTTGGACCCTGAGCGATACATGGCGCGTGACTACTACGGTCCCCTAAGGAATCTCCTGAGAAAGACACATTGGGCCACAGGAGATATTGTGGACTTAGAGGAAGCCTTGGAGCCATTCCTAGATAGACAAAAGTTCGACGACAGGAAAGAGCACTACAAGCGCTTGAGCGAGTCTTACGTTACATACTGGCGCAATGTCGACGGAGTCCATTTCACAATACCCCCTATTGACGTAACGATTTCTGGATTGACGATCATTGTACGTCCAGAAGTTGGATTGCAGACTGAAGGAGGAGACTACCAAGCACTTAAGGTCTGGTTCAACTCCGACCGGCCATCTAGGCAGGCCCGACAGATCATGGTCAATCTAATGGATAGAGCCAACGAGCAGAGTGAGAAGTGGAGCAGCCGTTGGTATTCAGGAATTTGGGACATAAGAAGACAGAATGTCCTTCCACCCATACAACCTGCAAGAGACTTAGAACTGGGGCTTACTGGCCAGATCGCAGCATTCTTACATATATGGGATGAATTAGACCGTCAGAGTAGAGAGGGATATCTTCTCTGTTAATCACTCTTGGCGCCCAGGAGTGGCTTCTGAAAGTCTATTGGGACAAATGGCGCCAGTTACACGATGCGTTCAACTAGAGGAGATTGGTGTGAACGATATCCAAAACACAGACCCCCGAAATCTGACATTCTCGCAGGCTTACGGTTACGAGCCACTTCCAGCACCACTCGCGCTTGAACAACTCAGCGAGGAAGCTCGTCTCGAACTATGGAATTTACTATACTCTATGACCACACAATCATCATCTATCGAGTTGGATGGTTATCATCACATACAAGGGGTCTGGCGTGGGATCTTCATCAATTTACACCATTACCTTCTCAGTGAACCTTTAGACACGTTCAATGACCGTAGTGATCTGCTCCACGCCTTATATAAGGACCTCATTCTTGATGGCTTCGAATTCAACAAAGTCTTCGACCTCTTGCTACGGGATCACTGCGCCACCCCAATTGTCCGACACGCTTCACTGAAGAGGTGTAGCGGCAATTTTCCAGCGCTGCCAACTTGCTTACTTCGTTAACACGGTCGGACAACCATCTATTGTTCCCGCTGCCACCCAGCGCGAAGGTGAAGCGATAGGAGAATCATTGCAGGTTCTGCATGATTCTGGCCTAATTGCTGCCGAAGCACACCTTCAGACTGCCATTAAGCACATCAACGATGGCGATTGGTCGGACTCTATCAGAGAGAGCATCCACGCAGTAGAGTCGGTGGCGCGCCATCTCGACCCTAGTCAGTCCGATACATTGGGTGCGGCATTAAATTCGCTTGAAAGGCATCGTCCTTTGCACCCCGCTCTCAAGAGTGGTTTTAGCAGCATCTATGGTTACACATCGAATGAAGAAGGAATCAGGCATTCTCTTGTCGACAGTTCGGAATCGCCGGCCGGACGCGACGAAGCGATTTTTATGCTCGGAGGATGCGCCTCATTTGCGAGTTACCTTTGGCGAGTCGGTCAGGCTACAAGTTGACGAATTTGACAGCATGAGAACGTCTCGCGGCGTGTAGTGTAGCGAAGCAGAACTACAAGTCCACTGTACCTACGAGATAGGAAGATTTCTATGGCACTAATTCCACCTCCTTTCCTAAACACACTCGTCGCAATAGGTGAAATTACCAGAGAGGGGTTCCAGTGTGACTCAACCGGATTCCTTTATGGAACCCCAATTCCAGGAAGAATGAGTTCGAATGGTCAGCAGCTGTACCATCCTTTCTTGGTAACAAATCGCCATGTGGTTGAACCCAACAGAAAACTGGTCGCTCGATTTAATCTCTCGGCCGGGCCAGCTTCAGAGCCCAAGACTCTCGACCAAGATTGGACGTTACATCCTACTGGTGCCGACGTAGCGGTTACTCAAATTGACCCTGACTTCATTATTTCCAAAGAAATCGAATATAGCATCTTCCTCGACAGTTTGAGTTTGCTAGACCGGCGGGCCGCGACCGAAGCTGGAATCAGCGAAGGGAGCGGAGTGTTTGTTCTTGGGTTTCCCCTTCAGTTGGCAGGTCGCGAGCGCAATTATGTGATTGTGCGTCAAGGGATTTTCGCTCGTATCCAGGACTGGCTCAGGGGTGATGAGAGCACATTCTTGATAGATGCTTCCATATTTCCGGGAAATAGCGGAGGTCCTGTACTTACGAAACCTGAGGTTATTAGCGTTGAAGGCACTTCATCTTTCGCAAAGTGTTCCCTTATCGGTATGGTCTCTTCTTACATACCGTATCAAGAAGTTGCTATCAGCGCACAGACAAAAAGCCGAGAATGATTTTCGAAGAGAATTCAGGTCTCGGAAGAGTTGTGCCGGTTGAAACGATCAAAGAAACAATCGAACTAGCATTAAATAGTTCTTGCTGAGCATCCCCTGTCTGCTATCAAACCTCGCCCTAACGCCGTCAGTTTTTCTTGACAACCCAAACATCTGTGCTATCATGACTCCACTATGGTCACACAACTGCAACATACAACGCCAGAGCAGGACGCCCACCAGAGGCTGCGCGAGTCCGTACAGCGCATCGTCCTTGAGGAAACTCAGGGCGGCAGGCGCATCGTCCGCAGCGTCGTCACCATCATGGAGGGCGACGCGCCCGGCAGCACACCCTGGCACCAGCTCGAAGCCGCAAAGTTCCTGCTGAAGCTCGGCTTCGAGGACGCCCGCGAAACTCTCGGCAGCATCCACAAGCAGGGCAGAAAAACTCCTCCCGCTTCTCAGTCCGTCATTCCCGCGCAGGCGGGAATCCAGGGGTGGAGTGGTGCGCCAGGTGAGGGTGACTCACAACAATCCCACATCAACCCCGAGCAGGTAAAGCTGAACAAGAAGCTCGTCCGCCACATCCGCGTCGACACCGGCGACGGCACTTCTATGGTCAAGTTCCTCATAGATGTCGTAGAAGGCAACGAGCCTGATGCAAGAGTCCGAGACAGGATTGAGGCAGCCAAGGTGCTATTGCATCTCTGCTTCGACAACCCCGCTCAGCCCGACCCTGAGTTCATGATGTACTACGCGCCCTGCCACCCCGACTGCCTCTGCGTCTGCAAGGACCTCCCCGAAGACCACCCGGAAGTCGTGCAGGCACACACCCCTCCCACCGAAGAGCAGCGCGAGCAGTGGGCAGGGGAGGCGGAGATGATGGAGCGGGCAGCGGAATCGGCGGAGCTGAAAGCGGCACAGAAAGCCAGGGCAGACAAAGACTGGAAGCTCCAGCAGTACCACTCCCCGGATACAGTTGAGGAAAGGCGCCTCGAAAGAGAAGAACTCCGCAAGAAGCGTCAGATCAGGCGCGAAGAGGAGCAGGAGCACGACCAAGAGCGCAGGCAAGAGATGGAACTAGAGCACAAGCAAGAGATGCAACTGGCGCGCGAGCAGGAGCTGGAAACGGTGCGCCGGCGCGAGCGCCTAACCGATGAAGAAGCCAGAAGTGAACGCGACCTCGAGCACCAGCAAGAGCTCGAACGAGACCACGAGCGACTGCAGGCAATAACACACGCCCGCAGCCCCTAGCCTTCCTCCGATCCTCGCCTCCCCACAAAATGCACCAGCAGGTTGGAAACCACGATCAGCGCCGCGCCTGCAGCCAGGTATAGCGGGCGCTCCACCTCGATCTCGCCCAGCAGCGCGAGCCACAGGAGCGATACCGGCAGCGTCCCGTATGTCATGCCGATGATGCCGAGGTTCCGCGTCATCAGGTTCGCGCCGCCTGAACAGCGCCGTGCAGAAGCCCAGCGAAAACAACCCGACCCCGAACGCCAGCCCATAGTCCGCCAACGCGATGCCTCCCGACCAGAGGCCTACGGTGGACTCGCCGCGCGCCAGCCCAAGAACGAGATTCACCGGAATGGCAACGAGCGCAGCCACGACTATCCCGGTCAGCACTCCGGCGACTTCGAGCTCGCTTTGCTCGTATGGATGGTCGGCAACGGCATCGACCCGCTGCGCCGTCTCCACGCCCCACTTCAGCACGAAGGAGCCGAGCGTCGCCATGCTCATCGAGATAACCGCAAGCACCACGCCGATGCCCACTTCAATCAGAGGTGCCGCGCCCTGTCCGAAGTCAAAGATATCCGCCCTCTGGCTCAGGATGGCGAGCGCGAATCCCGCGAACCCAATGAGCATGAAGCCGACCAGCGCCCCCGACGTGCGCTCGTACCGCCGCTCCGACCTGAACGTCCAGCCCACGAACAGCACCGTGGTGAACGTCCAGCCGCCGAAGATTACCGTCGTCACCGCCGGGTCGATGTACTCGGTGGACCATGAATAGAAAGCGTAGTTGAGGTAGCCCGTCAGTGTCAGCAGCATCGTGGGCCTGACCACCTGCCGCGCTATCACGCCGAGCGGGCCCCGCGGAAGAACAGAGCGCGGTATGTCAGCAGCGTGTACGCGCCGAGCCCCACGAACTGCCCCGCGTACAGGAACGCGGTGAACACGAACGGCGCGCGATGCGTGTCCGCCACCGCAATGTAAACCGGAATCGCCGAGAAGCCGATGACCGCCACCAGCATGAAGCGCGTCGCCCGCGACTGCCGCGCAGGATCGTGAGCCGTCTGCTCCGTCACTGCCGCGCCTCAACCCGCAGCGTGTACGCCGCCGGCTGATAGGTCGTATGCGTCATCGGCGCAACCACCAGCACCGCGTAGTCCAGCCGCTCCCCGAATCCCGCGATGCTGAACGAAGCGCCCGGCGGCTCGCTCACCGACACGCCGCCGTCCATGCCGAACTCGATCAGCCGCAGCACGAACGCCTGCGGCAGTACATTGTCGATGCGCCGGAAGCCGTTCGCCTGCCAGTCGCCGTCCGTCTCCGCATCATCCGCGAAGTCCCATTCCGGCACCGCAATGTCGTCTATCACGATGCCCATCGAGGTTCACGCCCTCGTCCGTGATGTACTCGAAGCGCACCAGCACGCTCTCGCTCGCCCGCATACTCCGACAGGTCCATCCGCTCCCGCACCCACTCGCCGCTCTTGCCGCCGCCCCGGTTGCTGCCACTAATCCCGGTTATGCCCGCGCCGTAGTTCGCGCCCAGCGGGTCCTCGCGGGTCGTATGCTCCCCGTCCAGCGTCGTCCACATCTCGCCGCCGTCCGTGGACACGCTCACAAACGCGTAGTCCCAGTCCTCCTCGATCTCGTGCCACATCCAGAACTCCAGCGTCGCCGACTCCACCCCCGACAGGTCGAACTCTCGCTCCAGCGTCGTATCAATCGAATCGCCGTTCCCGCTCCACCAGCAGTAACGCCCGCTATGGCACTCCGTCCCCACCTGCGCCACCGTCGCCTCGCCCTCGAACTCCATCGCCGCGTCCCCCTCAGGCAGCCGCACCTCATAGTACCGCGCCGAAAGCTGCGGCTGCGTGGTCGTCTCCGCGAACTCGCCGTCCACACGCTTCACCCTGTTCAGCCCCACGCTGCGCCCCGAGTAACGGTACACGTCCAATTGGTCATCAAGGCTTGTCTCAGCACGCCAGTCCAATTCGCCGTCCAGAAAATTCGCCACAGCCCAGTCCGCGAACACATCCGCGAAGCCCACTCCGTACTGCGACAGGTAGCGTCCCACGCCATTCACGCCATCCAGCGGTTCGCGCGCAAGCTCCGACAGCACATCATCGCCGCCGTAATGCTCCGAAATGTACTCCACGAACAGCGTCGCCCCCCCATAGTGCGAAAGCGTGTCGCGCGGCTCGTCCGGCCAGAAGTTCAGCTGCGACTCCGGCCTTTGCAGGAATATATCAATGAAGCTCGCCTCGTAGCCCGCAATCTCGGTCGCCACCTCCGACATGCCCTCGTTCACCCACACATCCTCGCCCAAGTCCTGATTCCAGTGGACCGCATGCTGAAACTCGTGCGCCAGCACGCTGAAGTACTGCCTGCTGCCGGGGCGCAACCAGTCGCCATCCATCACGATCATCTCACGCTCGTTGCTGTGGGGGTGCGTGGCGCGGGGGTACGAGTCGCTCGACGAGAAGTAGCCAGCCGCAGCCACAAGCGGCGTATGCAGCACCGTCAGGCGCGGGTCGCCGTCAACGCCCGGCTTCCAAATATCGCCGATGGCTGTCACAATCGGCGGGCGAATTTCGCGCTCGAACACATCCGCCGTCTGCTCGAGCTCCTGCGCCGTAAGTTCCGTCTCCTCATCCGCGTACCAGTATGCGTTCTCGCTCACCGCAAGCAACTCCGCATCCACCTCGTACACCCGCCGCTCGATGAGGTCGGTCACGAAGAACCTCTTGCGATGCCCAACATCGCAGCAGTCCGGATCCGGCGGCAGCGTGCGTGTCAGCGGCGCACCCCCCGCCTCAGCCCTGCCGAAGCGCAGCGCCAGCGCAAACAGGTCGCGCACCGGCGGCTCATCTTGCATTGGAACGGTAATGGGAGGCAGTTCAGGCGTGGGCGTAGCGGTAGGCGCAGGCGTGGGCGTCAACTCGGGCACGGCAGTCGCGGTCGGTTCGCCTGCACTGACGGCGGTAGGCGTTGGCGTGGGCATCGCGTCAGCCACATCCACCTGCCGCGTCTCCACAACACCAGGCTGCTCCCGCTCACACGCAACGCACAGCAGCGCAGCGACCACAATCGCTGAGAGGCACGGCACTCGCATGTGGAACGCCCCAGCCCTGACCCGTCTCACAATATCCATCCGTGCCACACCTTCATCGCCTCACGACTTTGATTGCCATACCTTCATTATATCCGCTTCATTCGCGCCCATAGCGAATACTATGCCCGCCTGTTGTATGATGTATCAGGCTTATTCTCACCAGATGTTAGCTGCCGAGTCGTCATTCCCGCAAAAGCAGGAATACACTCCGGTCATCAGGAGGCGTGCAGGAGGAAAATGTTCAGGCGCTTTGGCGTTAGCGTAGGCATATTGGTCTTCCTGCTATTCGCGGGCACGATCGGCTACATGGTGCTCGAAGGCTGGACGGTAATTGACGCGCTCTACATGACCGTCATCACGTTCACGACCGTTGGCTACGAGGAGGTGCAGCCGCTATCCACTGCCGGGCGCATCTTCAACATCTTCCTGATTGTCGGCGGCGTGGGGGCGATGCTCTACTTCCTCACCGCGCTGATGAGTCATATAGTAGAGGAAGAAGTATTCCATGCATTCGTGCGGAGGCGCAGAATGAGAAGCACACTGGCAAGCATGAGGCGTCACTACATTCTCTGCGGCTTCGGGCGCGTCGGCAGGGAAGTGGGACGCGCCTTTGCCGCCGAGGGTGTGGAATTCATCGTCATCGACGCCAACGACAACTGCATCGTGGAGGCACAGGAGCTCGGCTACGCCTACATTCAGGGCAACGCCACCGAGGACGACGTCCTGCGCGAGGCGGGCATCGAGCACGCGGAAGGGCTTGTCGCCGTAACCGGCAACGACAGCGACAATGTCTATATCACGCTGTCCGCGCGCGGCCTGAACGAGACATTGCAAGTCGTTGCCAGGACCAGCGACATCGCCAACGCCGAAAAGCTGAAGCGCGCAGGCGCGGACAAGGTCATCTCACCTCTGGAGATTGGCGGGCGCCGCATCGCCCTGTCTGCCGTTCGCCCCCTAGCCGTCGATTTCGTGGACTCCATGCTGGAAGGCGCCCACGATGAGCGCCTCCAATTCTCCGAGATTTCGATTACCAGCAGCTCTGCGCTATCCGGTTCAACCATCGCCACTATTGTCCGCCACCCCCATGTGGAGGCGCTCGGACTGCGGCGCTCCGATGGCGAGATGGTTGCCACGCCGCAAAGGGACACGGTGCTGCAACCCGGCGATAGCCTGTTCGTCATCGGCGTAGGCGATGCAGTCGCGGCCCTCAGCAGCGCAAAATAGACTCTGACGATTAACCACTGAAAACTATACTGGAGGCAAGAACATGAAAATCACCGACGCATCTATGGAGATATACCGCTGGGACCGCCCCGTTCCCATTCGCAACGGGATGTACACATACCCTACGGTCGCGCTCAACCTCATCAAACTGGAGACCGACGAGGGCATCACAGGCTACGGCTACATGGGCGGCGAGCATGTCACGGACGAGATGACGATGGGGACCTTCAACAACATGAAGCAGTACGTCATCGGGCAAGACCCGTTCGACAACGAACGCCTGTGGGCCGAGATGTGGCAGCCCAAGCTGGTGGGCAGGCGCGGCACATCGACCCGCGCCATCAGCGGCATAGACATCGCCCTCTGGGACATCAAGGGCAAGGCGACCGACACATCCGTCCACAAGCTGCTCGGCGCATATACAGACCGCATCCCCGTCTATATCGCGGGCGGCTACTACGAAGAGGGCAAGGGGCTGAACGAGCTCGCCGCCGAGATGGAGACGGCCGTGGAGATGGGTTCCAACGCCGTGAAGATGAAGATTGGCGGCGCGCCGATCAACGAGGATGTGGAGCGAATCAGCACCGTGCGCGAGGCGATCGGCCCAAACATCAAGTTGCTGATGGATGCCAACTGCGCGTACCGCTACTATGAGGCGATTGAGCTGGCGCGCAAGGCGGAGAAGTACGATGTCTTCTGGTTCGAGGAGCCGGTGAACCCGGACGACTACGAGGACATCGCCTCATCAGCCGCTCCACATCGATCCCAATAGCGACGGGCGAGAACGAGTACACACGCTACGGCTTCCGCGACCTGATCAACAATCGCTGCGCCGCAATCATCCAGCCGGACGCCCTCATCATGGGCGGCGTAACCGAGTTCATGAAGGTGTCGGCGATGGCGTCGGCGCACGATCTGCCCATCGCGCCGCACGGCAAGCAGGAGGTCCACATCCACCTGGTGGCGGCGATTCCCAACGGTCTGATACTCGAATACTATCGCGGGCGCGGTCGATCCGATGCACGGCAAGGTGTTCGAAGAGCAACTGGAAGTCGCGGACGGCCATGTGCTCGCCCCCGATAGGCCTGGCTTCGGCTTCACTCCCAACTTCGAGGCGCTCGCGCCCCACAGGGATGATGTAAGGAGCTGCCAATAGGTCATATTCCAAGAATTTGACTAGCCCGCTGTGCTAGAATTGCATGTCGTAACTCGACCTGACTTACCGACATACCGGCACACCACAACACACAGGAGCATCGCATCAGATGGAAGAGCAAACCCTAAGCCTGTCGCAGCGAACTGTGACGGGCAAGAAAGTCAAGCAGCTTCGCAGGCAGGGCATCTTGCCTGTCCATATGTACGGCAGGGGCATAGACTCGATGTCGCTGCAAGGAGTAGCCGGCGACCTGCGCCGCCTGCTGCCGCGAATCGGCACCAACATTCCCGTGTCAGTCCAGGTTGAAGGCAATGAGGGTGAGAATGTCTGCTTCGTCCGCGATGTGCAGCGCCACCCCGTAACCGAGGACCTGCTGCACATCGACTTCATTCGAGTGGATGTAACGCAGACCATCAGCGCCGAAGTGCCTATCGCTCTCATCGGCTCCGCGCCTGCCACACAGCAGGGCGGCACACTGCTCCAGCCTCTCACCAGCTTGCTGGTCGAAGCGCTGCCAATGAACATCCCCGCGACCGTCGAAGCCGATGTGAGCGGACTAGACGACTTCGAGAAGTCCATCATCGTAAGAGACATCCCCATCGCCGACAATGTCACGGTTCTGACCGACCGAGACGAGTTCGTAGCTCGCGTCATCCCGCCGCGCGTGGAGACTGAAACCTTCGACGTCTCCGACGAAGAATTGGACGAAGAAGCTACTGAAGAAGAAGAAGGCGCCGAAGAATAGCTTGAAATTAACAGGGCGGACGGGATACGAAGGATTTTCGGCATCCTTCGTATCCCTGTCCATCCGGTCCGGTTAACTAAATGATAGCAACCAGGCGACCAGCCGTTGCGCCGAGAACCCAGGCGTTTACGGCAGGTTTCCGGCGCACCTTCGAGTCTCTCGGCAACTTCAACTTCGCGCTGCTCTGGGTAGCATGCTCTTCCTGATGGCGGGCACGCAGATGCAGATGCTCGCGCAAGGCTACCTCGCTTACGAGATTACCGGAAGCGGCACCATTCTCGGCGTCATTAGTCTGGGTATCGCCGTGCCGCTGCTCACCATGCCCCTGTTCGGGGGTGCGCTCGCCGACAAGATTGATCGCAAGCTGCTGATTCAGGGCGCGCAGCTGGCGGCGGCGCTCCTCGCGCTCGTGCTCGGCGTTATGATAAACGCTGGGGTAATCGCGTGGCAGCATCTCTTGATTTCCTCGATGGTGCAGGGCGCGCTCTTCTCGTTCATGATGCCCGCGCGCCAGGCAATCATCCCGCAGCTGGTGGGGCAGAACAGGCTCTCGAACGCTATGGCGCTGAACGCCGCAGGCATGAGCGCGATGACAATGGGAGCGCCGGCCATCGCCGGGTTTCTGTACGACTGGGCGGGCGCGTGGAACCTGTACTATGTCATCGCCGCGCTCAGCTTCATCTCTGTCGTACTGACCGGCTTCATCAAGCCCACCGGCGACCCGACTCCGAAGAAACAGACGGCGATGATGCGCGACATCTGGGACGGCATCACATATATCTCCCGGCAGCGCATTCTGGTCGTGCTGCTGGTCGTGGGCCTGCTGACCACCATACTGGCGATGCCCTTTCGCTTCATCCTGCCCGTCTTCGTGGTTGACATCTACCAGCAGCAGGCGGACTCGATGGGACTGCTGACGGCGATCATGGGCTTTGGCGCAATGGCCGGGGCGATGTATGTCGCGGCGGTGGGCAGGAAGAATCGCGGCATGCTGCTGATTCTGTCCAGCATGCTGTCGGGCGTCGGGTTGCTGCTGGTGGCGCTCATTCCCATATACTCAGCGGCAGCGGTCATAATGATAATACTGGGCATGGGCGATGCGGGGCGCATGTCGCTGAATCAGGCACTGCTGATCGAGCTATCCGACAACGAGTATCGCGGGCGCGTGATGAGCATCTTTATGCTCAACTTCGGCTTCATGCCGCTTGGCACATTCCCCGCTGGGCTGCTGATAGACTACATCGGCGGTCAGGCGGTCATCGGCATAATGGGCTTAGGGCTGGTGATCGTGACTGTGCTCATATTCGTCACGCAGAGGCAGCTGCGTAGGATTGCATGATCACTCCATAGCCAATCTTGGATATACAGGACAACGTACAATGCCGACTCTGAACGACATCCATTCGCAGTTGAACGAGACTGCAATGCGCCGCGTGGTTACGCCGCGAACGGCTACGGAAGTTCAGCAAGCGGTTGCCGCGATTCGTGAACATGGCGGCAGACTCAGCATCGCAGGTGGGCCGCCACGCGATGGGCGGGCAGCAGTTCCTCGACGGCGGCGTTCTGCTTGATGCGAGCGGGCTAAACCGCATCCTGGAGCTCGACGCGGAGCGCGGGCTGGTGCGCGTTGAGGCGGGCATCCTCTGGTCGGACCTCGTGCGCGGGCTGCGCGACATGCAGCAGGGGCAGGCGCGTCGCTGGAGCGTGGTGCAGAAGCAGACGGGCGCGGACAGGCTCAGCATCGGCGGGGCACTCGCGGCGAACGGGCACGGGCGTGGGCTGACTTACAAGCCCATCGTACAGGATGTGGAGTCCTTCGAGCTTGTGGACGCAAGCGGCGCCATCCGTCATTGCAGCCGCACCGAGAACCCCAAGCTATTCAGCCTAGCCATCGGAGGTTACGGTCTGTTCGGCATCATATACGCGGTAACGCTGCGTCTCATGCCCGCTCACAGGGTGCGCCGTGTCGTGGAGATCACCACCATTGATCGGCTGGAGACGCTGTTCACGGAGCGAATCGCGGACGGCTTCACCTACGGCGACTTCCAGTACAAGACCGACGAGACTTCGCCCGGCTTTCTGCGCGACGGCGTGATGTCGTGCTATGTTCCGGTGTCCGACGACGAGGCGGGAGAGGCCAACCCGCCACTCAATCTGCTGAGCGAGCAGGATTGGCGCGGGCTGCTTTACCTGTCGCACGCGGACAAGGCGCGCGCCTTCGACGAGTACGCCGGCTTCTACATGAGTACCAACGGCCAGACATACGACAGCGACACCTTTCAGTTGAGCCAATATATCGACGACTATCATCAGGAACTCGACCGCAGCCTGAATGCTGCCGTGAAATGCACCGAGACCATCACCGAGCTTTATGTGCCGCTGCCGTCTCTCGCCGACTTCATGGGCGCCGCTGCGAGGGAGTTACGAGAGCGCAGCGCGAATGTCATCTACGGCACGATACGCCTCATCGAGCAGGATGACGAGACCTTCCTGAACTGGGCGCGGCAGCCTTACGCCTGCATCGTATTCAACCTGCATGTGGAGCATACGGAGGCGGGCATAGCTCACACCGCTAACGCATTGCGCACGCTCATAGATCTTGCAATGGAACGCGACGGCAGCTACTTCCTGACATACAACAAGTTCGCCACGCCTCAACAGCTTGCGCGTTGCTACCCGCAATTCGGCGAGTTCCTGGCACTGAAGGACCGCTACGACCCGGACGGGGTGTTTTCGAGTGATTGGCTGAGGGCGTACACGGAATTACCGTGAGTTGGCGACCGCACAACGTCGGCCGCCTGCTGACGGGCGCGGTTTCATACTTCTCAGTCAGTCGTTGCGGTAGTCGCCGCTCTGCCCGCCGCTCTTGCGGGTGAGGCGCACGCCCTCGATACGCATGCCGCGGTCAACCGCCTTGCACATGTCGTAGATAGTCAGTGCAGCAACGCTGACGGCAGTGAGCGCTTCCATCTCCACGCCGGTCTTGCCGGTAGTCTTTGCCTCGGCGGTGATGCGCACAGTGTCGGCGTCCGCATCCAGCTCGAAATCGACGGCGATGCGGCTGAGTGGCAGCGGATGGCAAAGCGGTATGAGCGTTGAGGTCTGCTTCGCGCCCATGATGCCGGCGATGCGCGCCACTGCGAGAACGTCGCCCTTGTCGAACGCATTATCTGCGATGAGTTGCAGCGTCTCAGGCTGCATAACAACGCCACCAATGGCGACGGCGATGCGCTCGGTCTCGGGCTTGGCGCTCACATCTACCATGCTCGCCTTGCCGCTCTGGTCTATGTGGGTCAGTGTGCGTTGGGTCATGGCGTCACTCTCATCTAAAGAATCGGACTAAAAGGATCCCAACGGCTAATCGCTGAGCAATAATATGAGTATGGTGATTAATACGCCGTAGATGGGTATGAACAGGGCAATGGCTATTGCGACCAGCCATTTAACCATGCTGGAAATCGCTCGCTCAATGTCAGCCTTCGTGGCGAGATGTGCGTAAGCGCCCTCTAAGTGCGCCAGTCGTTCGCCCATTCGTTCAGTATCAGTTGTAGTTGTCATTTAGGGAGGTCCTCTTTCCAATATTTCACCCTAGGCAATATATCGGAAAGCCTTAACTAAATCAGCTATTCACCCAATCTTGTATCCACGGACCTCCGTCAACTTCGTTTCTGGGCTTCGTATCCCTCATCCACAGCAAGACTGTCGCTATGCGAGGCGGCTACGGCTAGGGCATCGGCGCGCTCGTTGCCGGGGTTGCCGGCGTGTCCCTTCACCCAGCGCACCCTGACGGTGTGCGTGTCGAGCAACTTCAGGAGGTGCGCCCACATGTCGGGGTTGAGCGCCTTGTCCTTGCGGTTGCGCCGCCAGCCGTTTGCCTGCCAGCGTTCTGCCCAGCCCTTGTTCACGGCATCCACGATGTACTTGGAGTCGCTGAAGACGGTAACCTCGCAGGGCTTCTTCAACGACTGCAAGCCTTCGATGACGGCAAGCAATTCCATGCGGTTATTCGTAGTCCTACGGAAGCCGCCGCTAAGCTCCTTGCGGTGCTCGCCGTACTGCAAGACAGTGCCGTATCCACCCGGACCGGGATTGCCTGAACATGCGCCGTCAGTGTAGATGGTGATTTTGTCTGGCATGGACGAACCGTAGAAACAGGATGCGGCTGCTACCCGCCGATGTGGTACATCTCGACCTTTTTGCGGCGGGCGCGGAGTTCGTCTGTCATGGAGGATCGCTCTTCGGAGTAGCGGTCGGTGCGCACGCTCCATGTGCCGCGAATGACCTCGGTAAGCTCGGAGTCGCTTGCGCCATCACGCATGGGAGTTCGCAGGTCTGTGCCATTCACACCGAACAGGCATGTGAAGAGCATCCCTTCAGGAGACAGGCGCAGCCGGGTGCAGTCGCCGCAGAAAGGCTGGGTCACCGATGCTATGACTCCGATCTCGCCGCTGCCATCCTTGTAGCGATAGCGGTTGGCGACCTCGCCGCGATAGTTTGACTCCGCAGGTTCGAGCGGCATCTCGGCGTCGATGCGAGCGACAATCTCCTCGGCGGGCACAACATCATCCAGCCGCCAGCCATTAAGATTGCCCACATCCATATACTCGATGAAGCGCATAATGTGGCCGCGCTCCCGGAAGTAGCGCGCAAGCTCCACTATCGTATGGTCGTTGACGCCGCGCTGCACAACGGCGTTGACCTTGATTGGGTGAAAGCCTACTTCCTCTGCGGCGCGGATGCCTTCAAGCACACGCCCGACGCCGAACCCGCGACCGTTCATCTCGCGGAATATCGCATCGTCCAGCGTGTCCAGGCTCACGGTTAGCCTAGGCAGCCCGGCGTTACGCAGGGTACCAGCCTTCTGCGGCAGAAGGTAGGCATTCGTCGTCATCGTAAGGTCGCCGATTCCCTCAACGTCCGCGAGCATCACGATGAGCTTTTCGATTTCGCTGCGTACCAGCGGTTCGCCGCCCGTCAACCGCACCTTAACTACGCCAAGCCCAACGAATATGCGAGTCAGCCGCGCTATCTCTTCGAAGCTCAGCAGGTCCGCTCTCTGTAGAAACTCGTACCGCTCGCCGAATATCTCGGCGGGCATGCAGTAGGTGCATCTGAAGTTGCAGCGGTCTGTGACCGAGATGCGCAGGTCGCGCAGTGGGCGCCTGAACTTGTCGAGTACGGCAATTGCCTGAGTGTCTGTGGTGGTCATACTGACATTATAACCTACGAATGCAACTAAGAACCGTTATCTATGTATGGGATATGTAAATACGAATGCATTCTATCCATCCAGTTCATCCATATCAGCCCCTGCGATAAGCGCATGCGCCGCCTTGCGCGCCGCAGCGCCGCGATGACTGACGTCGTTCTTCTCCGCGTCGGACAGCTCCGCCATCGTCTTACCACGCTCCAGCAGAAGGAACACGGGGTCGTAGCCGAAACCGTTGTCGCCACGCGGCTTCGAGATTATGACGCCCTCGCAGGCGCCGCTGTGTAGCTCGATGTCTCCGTCGGGCAGTGGCGATGGCGATGACGCAGCGGAAGCGCGCCGTCCACGGCTGGGTACGCACCGCGAGGTTGTCGAGCAGCTTTGCGATACGATCGGCGTCCGTCGCATTGGGGCCAGCATAGCGTGCGGAATGCACGCCGGGTGCGCCGCCCAGCGCGTCCACTTCAAGCCCGGAGTCGTCGGCAAGCGTGGGCAGGCCCGCGAGACGCGCGTATGTCGTGGCTTTGAGCGCAGCATTTTCTTCCAGAGTCTCGCCCGTCTCATCCACATCGACTTCGATGCCGACATCGGAGAGCGACACGAGCGAATACGGAACATCGACGCAGCAGGTCGCGCAGTTCGGCGAGCTTGCCCGCATTGTGCGTTGCGACCAGTAAACGCTTGCGATCCCTTCCATCGCTTCCATCCATGTCATTTCCCCCGTCGCGAATTCTTCAACCCTGTGGTGAGCTTGCTGCGGACTTCGCGCTTGACGCGGGCTGCGAGATGTTCATCGTGGACATCAAGGAAAGAGCGGACAGCATCGGAGTCGTGCCAGACAAGTTCGCGCAATGCCCAGGACAGCGCCTTCTGCACCATGTCCTCGCGGTCTGCGGCGAGCATCTCGCATACCTCCAGCGTCCGCGTGGTGTCACCGGTGCCGCCATGCGAGCGCATATTGAGCGCGACGGTGCTGACCAGCGCGGCGCGCCGCCGCCACAAGTCATCGGATGTTGCCCATCCATGTATAAGCGCGTCAGATGCCAAGCCGTGCAGCCACGCGGGACCGGAGAGGGTGCGGCCGAAGGCGTCCACGCTGTCCCAGCTATTCATGCCCTGACCAAGCTCATCTAGCAGCGCGTCGTCCAGGCTCTCGAATGCTGGCTTGTGGTCGCGAATAAGCTCGTACGCGACCCAACGAAGTCCGCGGCACATGACAAACTCACGAGCTATATCGAGTATGAGCGCGGCGTCCTCAGCTCTGAGCGTCCGTGAATGGCTGCGCCGCACCTTTCGCACAGTGGCCGTGGTCTTCTGGGGCAGCGCCTCGATGTCGGCGGCAATCCGCGTTGCCGTTTCGGAGGCGGCGGTCATCACCTATGCGCTCATGTCAGGTGTGTACTTGCCCTGCCGAGCGGCGCTTGTGAGCATTGCGCGGCGGTAGTATTCCTGCTGGGCCGCCTCGGTGTTCGCCGCACTGCCGCCCCAAGCCTGAAGTGGAGCCGCCTGCAAGCCGCGTCCGTAAGAGAAGCTGAGCTCCCAAGGCGTGTTCATTCCTTCTGCGGCGCGACTGATTGCGTCCAGATTTTCCGTAGCCTCGTCGTCGCTCTGACCACCGCTGAGGAAGACTATACCCGGCACTGCGGCAGGAACTTCGCGCATAAGAGCGTCAAGCGTGCGCTCGGCGACCTCATTGGCGTCTGCGCGCTCGGCGGCATCTTTGCCGGATATGACCATGTTGGGCTTGAGCAGCGTGCCGCGCAGGTCCACACGCTGGCGGGCTAATTGGTCATAGGTACTGTGAAGCGCGTTCAGCGTTACTTCGTGGCAATGCTCGATGGAGTGGTCGCCGTCCATAAGCGTCTCTGGCTCGACGATGGGGACGAGTCCGGCTTCCTGACTGAGGGCGGCGAAGCGAGCGAGCAGGTGTGCATTGGCGTCTATGCAATACTGGCTGGGGATGCCGTCGCCGATGGTAATGACAGCGCGCCACTTGGTGAAGCGCGCTCCGATTTCGTAATACTCCGCCAGCCTGTCGCGCAAGCCGTCCAGTCCGTCCGTGATCAGTTCACCGTCGGTGTTTGCGAGCGGGTTAGTGCTCCTGTCAACCTTGATGCCGGGGATGACGCCTTGCTCTGGAGGATGCTGACGATCGGCGTGCCGTCCGCTCCGTTCTGTCGCAGCGTCTCGTCATACAGTATGACCCCGCTGATGAACTCATTGGCGCCCGGCGTGCGAAAGAGCATCTCGCGGTAATCGCGGCGGCTCTGCTCGGTGGATTCGGTATTGATGGAATCGAAGCGGCGCTTGATGGTGTTGGTGCTCTCGTCTGCGGCTAAGATGCCCTTGGCTGGGGCAACGATCGCTGCGCGATATCGCTCAATTCGCCAATGTTCATCACAAGACTCCTAAGAGATAGGTAGTAGATATTTTGGTACTTAGGCTAGAAGACAGGAGCGACTTTCCGATAGACATTCTATCAGAAAGAGGATAGGTAATTTACATGACTGAATGCCATGATCGGGTAATTGAGTCAAGCCCAACACCCTCTGTATGGCAGGTCAGCTCATTAACCCGGTCGGCGTCCGCATACGCGATATTACGCCACCGGCACAGGGTTTTCGTTTCAAAACTCTGGAATTGTGAACTGCAATTTCCTTGACATACAACAATATGTGAAACATGTGCAGTCATTTGGGTTGCTGTTCCTAGATTGCCATATAGCTCCAATGAAGTTACCATATCGACAGCGTTTCGCCTCATGATTCGCCTCATGCTGAAAGAGAGTCAGGAACGCTAAAGCAACTGACTGATTGCGAAATAACATTTGCTGAGTGCAAGGAGGACCTATGGTGAACTTCACCGATTCAGATGTGAAAGAGCTCGTTCGAGAACGCTACGGTAACTTCGCGCAGTCCGCAACCACTTGCTGCGGCGATGGCGAAGCTACCACGAAGAGTCAGCTTTATGAGATTGATCAGCTACAGGGACTACCGGACGAGGCGCTGCTTGCGTCCGCGGGCTGCGGCAATCCCACCGCGATCGGCGACCTCAACCCCGGCGAGACGGTTGTGGACTTCGGCAGCGGCGGCGGCATAGACTGCTTCATCGCCGCGAAGGCGGTCGGAGAGCAGGGCAGGGTAATCGGCATCGATATGACGCCCGACATGATAGACCTCGCGCGTCAGAATGCCGTCAACCTCGGCTTGCCCAATGTGGAGTTCCATCTTGCCGAGATGGAGGACACTCCGCTTGAAAGCAACTCGGTTGATGTCATCATATCCAACTGCGTCATCAACCTGGCGCCCGACAAGGACGCCGTATTCCGCGAGGCGCACCGCATACTGAAGCCCGGCGGCAGAATGTTCATATCGGATATGGTGCTAACCGCGCCGCTGCCCGCGCATGCCACCGAGGACGCGGAGAACTGGGTATCATGCCTGTCCGGCGCAGAGCCGCAGGATGTCTATATGGGCAGGATGTCTGAAGCGGGGCTTAATAACATCGAGATTACGGATTCCAAGCCGTGGCAGGGCAAAGAGGAATGGGCTTCGCGCGTGCATAGCGCGAACATAAAAGCCTTCAAGCCCTAATCATAAGCAGACATAAACAAAAACGGGCAGGATATGAGGGAGACAAACCCTTCTATCCTGCCCGTTTTGTTTGGCTTTTGTGTTAGGTTTGGTTATACAGCGGCAGCTACGCCATTCTCAGCTGCGACTCCGTTGACAGGCGCGCTGTTGTGTTGCTGCTTGCGCTTACTCGCCTCGACCTCGAGGTTCAGCGCGTCAATGCCGCGGCGCACCTGCCCGAGTATATCTGCAAGCTGCTCTTCAAGGTTGAACAGGACCTCGCGCGAGTAGCTGTCTGCGCCGTCTCGCCGCCCGAGCGCAACATTCTCCGCCTCGCTGACGATGCGATACGCCTTGCGCTGTGCGTCCTGCAGGATCTGCTGCGACTCATAGCCCGCCTGCTCCTGCATCTCCTGAGAGATCTCCTCGGCGCGCTTCAGCACCGACGACTCCCCCACCTTGGTGCGGTACTCCGTCTCCGCCTGCGAGGTGAGATTGTTAACCTCTTCCTCTGCATTCGTGCGAATGCGCTTCGCTTCCAGATACGCCTGATTCAGGATGCTTTCCTTCATCCGGATGACCTCGGAGGCCTCCCGGACATCATCGCTCAAATCGACATTGCCGAGCTGGTCGCTCACTCTTACCAGGCTGTCAATATCAACCATCACTTTGCCTCGGAATCCCGGTACGCGGGTCCCGGAAGCCGCCATAGCCCTAAGCTGGTCTGCAATCTGTGGTGTCTGCATTTGTCCTCCCTCGATAAGTATATTTTTCGGTATGTCAGTTAATGGTTTTTAGTTGTCAGCAAGCAAAATATGCAGTAAATTCGCAGTCGCAAACCTATCTTTACTGAAAAGCCCCACTCGAATTGAGCTTTTCGTTCAGCGCCTCCAACACCGGCGCGGGGATCAGGTTCTCAATCCTGCCGCCAAGCTGCGCCACTTCCTTGATACGACTGGAATGTACGAACTGATTCTCCAGGGCGGTCATCAGACAGACGACATCAATGCCCGGATCAATGTTGCGCCACATCAGCGCCATCTCAAACTCCGTCTCGAAGTCGAAACCCGCGCGCAATCCCCTGATGATGAACCTTGCATCCACGCTGCGCGCAACGGCAGGCGCAAGTCCTACGAATGGTATTACTCGCACATTCGTCAGATGCGGTATGCAGCGCTTGAACAGGTCCACTCGCTCTTCGGTTGTGAACATCAGCCTTTTCGACGGCGGTGTGTCGTAACACCAATCACAAGCTCATCGAACAGGCTCGACGCTCTTGTCGCTATGTCCACGTGCCCGTTGTGAACCGGGTCAAAACTGCCAGGGTATAGCGCCCTAACCATCTATCTCTCCAAACACATATATTGATATTGCCGTATCTCCATAGCGCCGCCGTGTCCGCAGTGACAGCTCGCCATACTCATCCGCCATCACAGTGCTATGCCTGTGCTCCGCCACCACCATGCCACCCTCTTGCAGCATCCCTTGTCGGTTCAGCGCCTCCATCACCACCTGCCAGTCGTCCAGCGCATAAGGCGGGTCTGCGAAGACCAGGCTGTATCCGCCCTCAAGCGTCCCCAGCAAGCGCTCCACCCTGCCATTGTGAACTTTGCCTCTCTCGCTCACTCCCAGCGTTGCGAGCGCATCGCTAATCAGACGGCATCGGCGCACATTCGCCTCCACAAAGTCAACCCACGCAGCCCCCCTGCTCAGAGTTTCCAGCCCGAGCGCTCCACTGCCGGCGTACAGATCAAGCGCTCGAGCACCTTGCACCGCATCCACTCCCAAAATCGAACCCAAGATTGAGAAGATAGCGCCCCGAACTCTGTCCGAAGTCGGCCTGAGATCCGAGCCTCTCGGCAAGCTGAACCTGCGCCCGCGGTGTTCGCCGCCCGTAATCCGCAGGGTCAACTGCTTACCCCTGTCTTTTCCATCCCTCGCCGCTTCTCAATTCCTGCGTCAACCCTAGCACGCACCATTTCACTCGATAAAGGACTTTTTCAGTCTTTTTTTGAGAAAGTGTTTAGGCAAATTGCATCGATTGCCAAAAAGGAGATATATAATGTCCAATAATGTCGCGTATCCATGTTCGCCCCTACCCGTTCAACCTGCTAGAATGGGACAGGCATTTCTGGAAGAAAGCGCAGGCGGGAAAGCTGCAATGACCCAGTCTGAAAACGAACTGTTTCAGGTGCGCCTGGAGAAGCTGGAGCGCATAAGGCAGCGCGGCATCGAGCCTTATCCGCACAACTACGAACGCACGCATACGAGCGCGCAGGCCGAAGAGTTGTTCGCGCAGGCTGAAGCGGAGCAACCCGAGAACGCGCGAACCGAATCAGTATCCGTCGCGGGACGCATCGTCGCCTTTCGCGGCATGGGGAGGGCATCATTCGCAGACCTGCTTGATGGCGACGGACACGTTCAGGTCATGTTCCGCCGCAACTCCCTCCCCGACACCTACGAAATGCTGGACGACCTCGACATCGGCGACTGGCTCGGCGTGAAGGGCCCTCTCTTCCGTACGCGCACAGGGCAGATGACAGTGGAGGCGCAGGAGTTCACCCTGCTGTGCAAGTCGCTGCGATCGCTGCCGGAGAAGTGGCACGGCTTGCAGGATGTGGAAATACGCTTCCGACAACGATACCTTGACCTCATCGCCAACCCGGAGGCGAGACGCGTCGCCGTTATGCGCAGCCGCATCGTCAGCGCCATCCGCCGCTTCATGGATGGACGCGGCTTCATCGAAGTGGAGACACCCACGCTAGTGCCAATCGCCGCGGGAGGCATGGCGCACCCCGTTCATCACCCACCACAACATGCTCGGCAGAGACCTATACCTCCGCATTGCGACCGAGTTGCATCTCAAGCGCCTCATAGTCGGCGGCTTGGAGCGCGTCTATGAGATAGGCAAGATATTCCGCAACGAGGGGCTGGACCTGACGCACAATCCTGAGTTCACCTCTATGGAGAGCTACGAAGCCTTCGCCGACTACAACGACGTGATGGAGATGGTTGAGCAGATGGTGTACGGCGTGGCGCAGGAGGTGCTGGGCACGGCAGTCGTCGAATTCGACGGAGAGCTCATTGACTTTACGCCGCCCTGGCCCCGCCTCAGCCTGCGGGAGCAAATAGAGCACCACAGCGGCATTGACTTCCTGGAGCACCCAGACATAGAGTCGATGAAGTCGGTTATGGCGGAGATCGGAATAGACGTAAGCCACCAAATGAGCTGGCCCGGCCTGATGGACAAGCTTATATCTTCGCGCGTTGAGGATACGCTGCGCCAGCCCTGCTTCCTTGTGGACTATCCGGTGGGGATGTCACCCCTTGCAAAGAAGAAGGCGGACAGCCCGCTACTGGTGGAGCGCTTCGAGGGTTTTGTCGCCGGCATGGAGATTTGCAACGCGTTCACAGAGCTGAACGATCCCGTTGACCAGCGCCAGAGGTTCGAAGAGCAGGAGACTCTGCGTACGCAGTTCGCGGGCGAGGAGACGGACAGGCTTGACGAAGACTTTCTGGTCGCCATCGAGCACGGAATGCCCCCCACGGGCGGACTCGGCATCGGCATAGACCGCCTTACCATGCTATTATCCGGCCACAAGACGATCCGAGAGGTGGTGCTGTTTCCGCAGATGCGATGACCAGAACCGACAAGGGCTAAGTATGAATCAGGGGGCGCATCGCTGTCCCCGGTTACGAGAGGCAATGCAATATGATGTTGGATATGGGCTTCCAGATAATATCCTGCCCGATAGGCGGCGAGCCTACGGCGATAACGCTGCCCTACGATGAAGCCGCGTTCGTAGTGACGGAGATGCCCTATCTGGAGGTTGACCCAGACGCCTGGGAGCATGACATCGAGGAGCGAATCACCTGCCCCGTCGGGCATACCTTCTATGTGTACGCTTATTGATAATCGTCGAGCATGCTGCGGATGCTCCTCTCTAGCTCAGGAATACGGCTTACGGCCACAGCCCATACGATTTCCACATCGACTTCCATGAAATCGTGAATCAGCACATCGCGCATTCCTGCCATGCGCCGCCAAGGAACTTGCGGATTTGCGGAGCGCAATTCATGTGAGAGATTCTTAGTAGCCTCTCCGATGACTTCAAGCTGTCTTATCACGGCGTCTTGCCAGTGGATTTCGGACATAAAGCCCACTCGTCCCACTGAAATATACAGCTCAATTTTGGCAATCGCTTCAAGGATATGCCTGAGGAACTCTTCATCTCTTTCACTCATACTTCCACAGCGACGGCTTCCTTTAAGACGCGGCTGCGAAAGCCACTGAGCATTGACTCGGTTACGACATGAACCTCGCAGTCAAGCAGTTCTTCCAAATCCTGCTTGATTGCTACCAAATCCAGCAGCGTACTGCCATCAGCCATATCTACTAGCACGCCCAAGTAGTTAGAGTCCAGCTTCTCCGGGAAAATCGAATCAAAGACTCTTACGCAAGTTGCGCCATGGGAACGAGTGATGTGGAGTATGTTGTGTTCTGCGCCCGCGACAATCTTGTTGACGCCCATGTCCAACCCCTTTCATCGCTATTCTAGCACAGCATTTTCCGACAAGTCGGATGGGATTGGAGAACTAGGTAATGCGATACCCATTTGAGTGGCAATCCATCGTCTAGGACTCCTTTTGTCGCTTCGGCCCCTCTTCCACATCATTCCTGCTGTCTGCTCATACGCGCTGCCAGCACACCTGCTATCAGCCCGAACAGGTGCCCTTCCCACGAGATGAAGCCAGCTTGCGGCAGTACGCCGAAGATGATCCCGCCGTACAGCAGCAGCACACCCACGGCGACTACAATCGACACGATGCTCCGTTCGTACCAGCCCTGCGCGACGAGGAAGCCGAAGTAGCCGAAGACCAGCCCGCTTGCGCCAATGTGGACTGCCGGACGTCCCCACGATCCAGACGAGCAGCCCACCCAGCACGATCACTAACAACGATACGCCTATGAGCGTCTTAGCGCCGCGTATTGCGACGAAGCCGCCCAGCAGGAGAAGCGGGAAAGTGTTCGACATGAGATGCGAGAAGCTGCCGTGCAGAAGTGGGCTGAGCAGAATGCCCCTGAGACTGCCCGCCAGATAAGGAAGGCTCGGCTCAAATTCAGACAGCCAGCGATAGGGCAGCGCCATTGGCGACAGTCCATATCTGTTGAGGCTGCCATCGAATAACAAGCTGTTCACCAGATAGACGACCCATATAACCGCCACGAATATGAGCAGCAGTATTATCGAAACCAGCCTGTCTTTCATCAGCCGTCTCCCTAGTCCAGGTTGTCGATCTGCACGGGTTCGATGTCATCGGCAAGCGCGAAGCCGAATACCCGCGAGTAGAAGTACAGTTCAGCCTCCAGAGCGCGGCGGATGTTCGCCGCCTGCCGGAAGCCGTGCTGCTCGCCCTCGAATGTGAGGTATGCGACGGGCAATCCTTTCTCACGGAGCGCGTTCACCATCAGCTCCGCCTGATTGGGCGGCACTATCTCGTCATCCAGACCTTGCAGCACAATCATCGGAGCGGAGAGGCTGTCGATATGGTTGATGGGCGAGCGCTCGCGGTAACGCTCTTCATGTTCGGGGAAGCGCCCCACCATCGTATCCAGATAGCGCGACTCGAACTTGTGGGTGTCGCGCATCAGTCCATCTAGCGAGCTGATGCCGTAGTAACTCGCGCCCGCGCTGAATATGTCGCGCGTGGTGAGCGCGAGCAGCGTGGTGAATCCGCCCGCGCTGCTGCCTCGAATGATGAGCCTGTCGGCGTCCGCAAGCCCCTGCCCCGCCAGATAGTTCGCGCCGTTGATGCAGTCGTCCACATCTACCACGCCCCAGTTGTCGTTGAGCCGCCGCCTGTACACCGTGCCAAATCCACTGCTGCCACCATAGTTCACATCCAGCACGGCGAATCCCCTGCTCGTCCAGAACTGCTTGCGAAGGTCGAGCGATGAATCCGCGGCGCTGGTCGGTCCACCGTGGCTGATGACAATCAGAGGCGGCTTCTCGTCATCAGGCGCAGCGAAGCCTGCATTTGTCGGTGGGTAGTAGAAGGCATGCGCCGTCAATCCGTTCTCAGTCGGAAACTCAATTGACTGAGGGCGTGAGACATAGCCGTCTTCCAGCACGGCTTCACTGCTGCTGCGTAAGCGCGTGGTGCTGCTGTCTGCAAGGTCATGCCGCATCAGCGACATGGGCATTGTGGGCGAGCCTGCCGTGAACGCAACATGCTGAGAGGCTACATGCAGTGTGCCAATGTCCGTGAACGGGCGTGGGCACAGTGGTCAGCGTCCCTGTCGTCGTGTCGATGTCGCCAATGTGCCATTCACCGGACTGCGTATAGGTGCAGATAATTCGCTCGTCGGACACGAAGCCGTAGGTGCTCAGTCCGAATACCCACGCGGGCCTGCCGAACTCGGCGTCCATAGCGCAAACAGGCTCCACGCTGCCAAAGTCCGCGCGGCTGCGGTAGATGTTCCACCAGCCCGTGCGGTCGGATACGAAGTGCAGCACGCCTGAAGGAGACCAGGACGGCTGGAATATGGACTCATCCGCCCCTGCCTGCCACAAGATGCCGCTCGCCCAGAGTGCCGTCATCGAGCAGATCGGCAACCCACAGCTCGCAGCCGTCCCAAGGCATGTTGGGGTGGTTCCACGACAGCCATGCCAGAGCGGAGCCGTCCGGACTGATGCGCGGGCTTGAGTAGAAGGACGCGCCCGATACCAGAACGCGACTGCGGCCGCGCTCCAGGTCAATGGCGACGATGGTGTTGACAGCCTCTCGCCACGATGATGAGTGGTCCTCGCGCACGCAGACCATCATTCCGCGGCGCTCGCAGACCTCTCCGTCGGCGTAGCGCATATCGATCTCAGGCGTGAGCGGCTGCGGAGCACCCACCTCACCCGATGCGGAAACCACTTGCCGATAAATCCGTTGATCTGCGAAGTTGCTGAAGTAGAGCGTGCTGCCCGCGCCGTCCGATCCAGTGACACAGAACGCGCCGCCGCCGTACTCATGCACGCGTGTGCGCACGTTGTACTCCGGCGGCGTGATGTCGCGGGCCGCGCCATCGGGAGTGCGGCGCACGATGACATTGCGCGCGTTGTCCGCAAGGCGCATCTCCGTCCAGTAGATGTCATCGCCGTGCAATACGACATCTCCGATGCCGATGCTGTCCGCGACAATCAGCTCGGAAGTTACGGGTGATGCCCAGGAGCCGTAAGGCGCTGTGGTCTTGTCGTTCATCGTTGTCTCCGCATGGTTCGTCCTGTCCGTGAGATGTTTGTGGAGTTGCTACACCATTCTAGCCCACCTTGGGCTGATGCAGCAGCGCATAGGATATAACATGCCGAATGCGGGCATGTGCTACCATGTCAGCGATATGCAAATAATACGACAGCACAACCGCAACAAGCAGCAGGCAAAGACTTGGGTAGAAGACAAGCTCGGCGAGATGCTTCAGCAGTTCGGCGACTCGGTATCTGACTCATCGCACCGATGGAACGGCGACACGATGGAGTTCGCGTTTAGTGCAGCGGGGCTGATGAGCTTCAGCGGCACACTCGCCGTTACCGACACTGACTTTCGTCTCGACATGCCGTTCCCGTTCCTCGCCAAAGGCTTCGAGGGGCGGGCGACAGCGGAGGTAAACAAGTGGCTTGATGACAATCTGACAGACTGAAGCGGAAAGGTGTATGATACTGCCATGATTATCAGGATCGAGCCTAAAGACTGGAACATGCACACGGTGCTGATGTTCTTCAAAGAAGAAGAGCCGCACCCCGAGGACGCCGACATTCGGCGTTACCTCGAAGAGCGCCACCTGGAGCCGCGACGCGAGTACAACACCGAGCTAGAGGGCGAGAAGTTCGAGGTGCTCACATACGGCGGCTGCTACCTCGGCCGGCACATGACCGCCCTTGCCGACATCCAGCGCGCCGTGGTCGAGCGCGAACTGCTCGCGGAGGCGATCCCTGCACTCCTTGCAGGCGGTCCCGACGCCGAGGCAGCCGCACTAGCCACAACGAAAACAGTCTCCGAGATGACGACCATCGTTGACGCGCTCACCGACGCCCTGCACACGCCGGACAACTTCGGCATAGACGCCAATGGCGAGCTGCAAACGACCGTCAGCGCCGAGGATGTGCAAGCGCGGTTCCTCCAGCTTGTTCCTTCCCTCTCGATAGGGCCGAGTTAGAACCTGTCCCTGCGAAGGCAGCGGATGGGGGAGTGAAATTCCCGACCACACGTTTGAACTAAATTATGCAAGGAGACACGATTGTATCTAGTCAGAAGGACTTACAAGACCAAGCCCGGAGAGGCGCGCCGCGTGGCGACACTCGTGCACGAGCAAGTGCAGATATACCACGACGCAGGCCACCGAGAGGAATTCAGGGTCGCGTACAACGGCGGCACATGCCCAGGCGAGGGGAACATCGTCGTCTTGGAGTGGACCACTGAAGCCTTCCAGTCCCCATCGCGCGAGGGCAACAACATCCCGCCCGCCGCGATGGAAGCGGGCGCTGCCTACCGCCCATATATCGAGGGCAGCCACATCGAGTTCTGGGAACTGCTGACCCCCGACAAGATGCAGGACTAGAGACGCGAGCAGTTCTCTGTGAGTTTTTAAGTCCCCTCTACCTGAGAGCTAGGTAGAGGGGACTTTCTTCTCAGGGCAGCTTCCGCGCCGTGATTGCAAGCAGGTCGGGCTGCGATTCATCCTTTTGTCCGACTAGCGAATCGTAGAAGCGCACGTTCTTGAATCCCGCCTTCTCCAGAATTACGCAGTACTGCTCGGTTGTGTACGCCTTCAGGCTCTGGGCATAGCGCGTTACCTCTCCGGTCGCTGCGTCAACTATGAAGTATCGTCGGGTAACAACACCCGTATCGTCGTCCCAGAAGTTTTCCTGAAGACAGAGATGCGGCGACTCGGAAAACAGGCCGCCCTCCGACGCATACCACGAAGCGGGGCGCGAGCCGAAGTCTAGGACGGCTTGATTCGTATGCGCTTCCAGCAACAGCATGCCGCCCTCTTCGAGTGCGCTGTGCGCCTTTTCGACGATACGCGTGGCGTCCGACGGACTGAAGACGTTGAATTCCCCGAAGATGAGCATTGCGAACCCAAAGCCGCTGCCGTATTCAGCCGAGCGTATGTCCGCGTGGATGTAGTCGCAAGGCAAGTCCTCGCTGACCGCCTGCTCTCTTGCGTAGTCTATGGACGCAGGCGAGAAGTCGATCCCGACGCAGCGATGCCCAAGCCTTGCCAGTCTGCTGGCATACAGCCCCGGGCCGCAGGCGAGGTCGAGTATTCTAGCAGGGCTGCCCGCCAACACTTCGCGGTGAATCCATTCCACATGTTCGTCTATCTTCTCGCGGCGGCGGCTGGCAAGGTCGTGCGACTGAGTAAGATGCTCGCGCAGCATGCGGCGGCTGAAACCGGGCTCGCCCCACGGGATGTTGTCGCCCTCGGACCAGGGTTCGGGCGGAAGCCTTCGAGAGAGTATGTCATCCAGTTCCATACCGCTAA